GGGGGGGTTTCCCGTGCCGATGCGGAAGTTGAACGAGGCAAGGATCGTGCGGTCACCGCTGACATGCTTGGTGAGTTGTTTGGCGATGAAGTAGTGGCAGTCTTGGTCTTAGTAGGGTTCAGCGGGTATAATCTGGCTGGACGAGCTGAGCGAGCTTTGCGAGGAGAATATGTGCTTTTAGTGGATGGATTCGAGCTGAGTGGGAATGGAATGGTATGAGGATGAAAAGCGGAATGAACTTTGTTTGAGGACTGCATGCATAGTAGCGCAGTACGTGGTACTTGCAGTGCAAATGAGCCACCAAGGCTGACTCGTCTTGGTGCCTGTAGCGCACTTGCAGTGCGTCTCTGGAATGTTTTGTGCTCTGCGTTCTGCTGTTCTCGCCAACTCCGTGTATATTATTGCTTCACCGCTGTACTTCCGGTGCGATCATGCTGGCTGAGGACTTTCCTGATCGTGCTAGTGGACAGCTGAGCCGCGATGTGTTGAGAAGTCCACGCTGTTTCTTGTGACTGTCCGGAAACCGCTAGTAGTGGCCTTGACAGGTTTTGCCGATCGCTTGCTCGCCATTATTGCAACATTTCAAACAGAGCCCTTCGTCCTCCTTTCCTTTGGCGAAACTGTGTATCAAGTCTCGTCTGGCTTCAAGAATGACTGTGCCCCAATTAGCACTAAAATCTCCGATAAATTTGCCTGTGAGTTCATACGCAGTACTCGAACCGGAATTGTTTCAATAATCGGATCGTTCACCAGTTCTGTCACTCCGTCTTCGCATTTGTTGATCAGATGGGCTGTGGCTCTCTGGAAGCCGCTCTCATCGCCGATCAGGTAGGTTGCGGCTACCGCTTCGATTACCATGTCGATACAGTCTACATGCCGGTACTTATAGAGCCAGTTGTGCAGAAATCCACTCATCTGCCAGCGTAGAGGGTCAAGAGACTGGTACTTTTGGAGTAGGACAGCAGTATTGTGGAGACTAATAATGGCATTGAAATCGTGGACGTCGAAGCCTCGCTGCCAGGAGTGGAGCATTTGACACATCAAGCGCAGACCACGCGTGTCGTCCTCAGGTAGTGGTACCTCCAAAGGCTCTGTACTGTTCCGCAGCTGGTGTCCCTCGCGGAAGTGTGGTCCAAACATAGCTTTGAAGACCGGTGACGCGTTGGAAAGTATGGACGACGAGACTCGAAGTTTCTTGGTGTGGTCCTTCTTGCTAGCGACGAGAATGACATCCCCGTCGGCGGCAATGAGCTCGATGTCGTCTCCACCGCTTGCAGCGACCTCGTCGGACATGGTAATGGTGTGTGGTGTAGTTGATGTCGAGTGACTGCGGATTGGACTTGCAGGAAATTTACAGAGATTGTTAGAGTGGGGAAGTGAAAGCGAAGGTATGTGATTGTTTTATGGAAGTCGCGGTGGCGCGACGGCAAACTGCCACTAGCGTGGCTTTTCCCTGCGCGTCCATTCACTTCACTTCACCGTCGTAGTCCTTGAATCACTCGATTGCTGCTCAAGCACAAAGTCGCTGAAGGCATGCGCCATTTGCTGATAATCGCATGCCCGGCTCAATTTTCTAGGCCAATCCATGCATTATTCGAACTGGTCCAACGTAAAGTCACGAGGCAGTACACCAGACGTTTCATCACGCTTCCGTTTGCTGCTCGTTTGATGGCGATGGCGCGCCGCAGAAGTACTAATGATCGATCGTGCAGGTCTCGTATCGATCCTGCGTGCCTTGCTTCGTGCACTGCAAGCACAACGCTTCAGTACCTGGCCGTAACCGCTTGTTTTGTGCCGCAGCGCGTCGCTCTTCGAGGATCACTGTGCTTTCGTGTTAGCTCGCGCCAAGTATATCATCGATCAGTGGTACGTACGGAGACTCGAAGCAGGAAGCAGATCTATGACCGAAGTACCCAATAGTGTCATCGTTCCATCATAGCAATTCTTGATAAGCTGCGCGGTAGCTTTCTCGAAGGCTTCGTTGCAGTCGAGTAAGTAGGCCAGGACAACAGCCTCGATCACGACATCGATCGCATCTTCTTCCGGGTAGTCGTAAAGCCATTCGTAAAGGACTCCGACTAGATGGTAGTGGAAAATGTCCAAAACCTGGTACTTCTTCATTGTGACAGCAGCGGCACGATAGTCGTAGATGCAGTTCGAGCCATGTTCCTCATCAGACTCAACCTTGAGAAGGTGGAGCATCTGGCACATCACCCTTGTGCCATCGTAGTTGTCTTCTGGTAGCAAGATAGGCACAGGCCCTGCGGTGCTACGCGGCTGTTGTCCCTCGCGGAAATGTGGCCCCAACATCGATTTGAACACAGGCGACACCGAGAGAGCGCGAGAAGAGACTCGAAGAGACTGCTTAGTTGCGCCAATGACCAGTAGGACATCACCGTCGCCGTCGATGACTTTGACCTCGTTCAAATCGCTTGCGGCGGCGATGTTGGACATGGCGGGCTTGTGCTTTTGAACTGGTGTCGAGTGTAGAGCTTGTCCGAGTTGTGTGTTCAAGGCGAGAATCGTGTGCAGGGTTTGTCAAAGAATGAGAACGAGAAAGATGAAAGTGAAGTGGAAGGCAGATGGTTGATTGAAGTTGCGCTGGCGCGCCGCAAACGCCACAAGCACGGCTTTCACGTGCGCTCGTTCACTTCACTCCTGCAGTACCTGAACCCATTGTTGCCTGAGCTGTCGTAGAGTCGCCGGAGGCACGTATCTTCTCCCGACGATCGCAAGCCGCTCCAGCTAGCTTGATCATCATTGGTAATGACATCCGCTATAGTCACGAGGCTTTGTGGGTACCCACGCACTTTTGGTATCGATCTTGTATGCCCTCCTTCGAACACCGCAAGCACAATCCTGCATCATTGGCGACTTCTTGGGAAGCATCCGGTTGACCCAGTTTAGCGTGCATTTCCACTCGTCTCTCTTCCAGAATCACTGCCACGCTGAATTAGCCTAAGGACGCTGTACCATCCGGTGATAGAACTCACGAAGGACCTGGGCGGGCATGGTGTTGATCATGTCTGGTAAATCTACCAGCTCCGTAATCTCATCTTCACAGTGGTTGATGAAGCACGCGGTAGCTCTGTTGTAGGCGTCGTCGCAATTGAGCAGGTAGGCTGCGGCAACAGTCGACACGAATGAGAACGCCGTATAGCCGTCCTCATCGAGGTCGAACAGCCAATGTGAGAATACTCCGCGTATTTGCCAGTGGAGCACGTCGACTACCCTATACTTGTCGATGATGAGAGCCACCTCGAAAATGTCCATTTGATACACCAGCTTCTCGTCTTCAGTGGGCGACTGACGACCATGTAGTAGATGGCATACCAGGACCATGGCGCGAGGGTCGTCATCTGGCAGTGGAATCTCCACCGGGTCTCTGTTGCTTGGACCGCGCAGCTGCTGTCCTTCCTGGAAGTGCGGGCCAAACATCGCTTTGAAGACAGGCGACGTGCTAGAGAGCGTGTGCGAGGAGACTCGAAGCTTCTTCTGCATCTTCTTCTCGTCGCCGACGATCAGGAGAAGATCCCCGTCGGGCGCGACGACTTCGATGTCGGCTGCGTCTGACATGATGACCGTGTGTTCCGTGTGGAAGGCTCGTCAGGCTGGAAACCTATGTCGATGGCGATGTGCGGTGGTTATGAGAAGGAGCAATACAGAGCGAGGATGGATGAGCGGAAAAGGTTGAGCAGGCGCATGACAAACGGCGCTAGCGCGACTACCCACACGCGTCCGTCGACTTCACTTTGCACGTCCACAGGAAGGCTAGAGACCACGGAACGAGCGACAAATGACGACTGCAACGAGGGGAGAACCTGGGTCAACTTTGCGAGTGCGCCATCGTCTGCCGGGACGGCCGCCATCACCACAGCGTCTTGATTATTTGACACCGATCGTGAGCTCGGTGAGACTCCTCAAGTTGTGAAGAGCTTATAGGCCAAGAGCTAAGTTTGTATCAATATCGCACCATTGCCACCTTGAAATTGTAGCTGCGAAAGTGCCAGAAGAGGAGAATGACAGTCTACTTCCTCTTCGATGACCTAAAGCACGGATGGGGCTCGTTAGGCTACGGCATGAACCATGTGAGTCGTTCGTGGATTTTTTGCTTCGCTCCCCGCCGCTTTCACAATCTCTTGCATCCCATATCTGCATGTACCATGTACCCGGCGCTACCTGTGTAGCAAATGCCTCCGCGAATGTGCTCCGGAAACCCCGCAGGCACAGAAAGCCACGAGATGTCGAGTCACTTCCTCTATGGCCGCTAGAACAAGCACAGGATGGCGATAACTCCAGAACGAGCTAACACCCTCGCGAACAGGTCGCGTACAGGGCTTGTTGGCCGGCTCGAGTGCAGGATAAGCACAGTCCGTCATCCTTTGAGACTGCGCTGTGCTTGTCTCGAGCTCTCAGGCGTCTCGCTTCCAGGATCACTTTATCTTCACGTCAGCACAGGCATTCTCACAGGACATCGACGCCAATACGTACGCAGCACTCGCGCGGGAATCAGGTCAAGAGTCTGGTCATCCGGAGTTTGTGCCACGCTCGAGACGCAGTTGGTGATGAGGTGGGCCGTGGCTCCTTGGAAGGCGTCGTCAGAGCCTAGTAGATAGGCGGCGGCCACAGCTTCGAGCACAAAGGCGATGCTTTTTTGCTTCTTGTGTTCCCAGAGCCAGTTGGTAAGAAGACCTTGCATCGGCCAGCGCAAGACCTCAAGCATTTGATACTTCTGGAGGGCGACTGCAGCGTGCCGAATGACGATGATTCGGCTTATTCCACTCGTACCAAGATCGATTCCGCCGAGATGGATGAACTGAAGAATCAAACGCATTCCATCCGAGTCGTCTTCTGGAAGCTCCACTGTCGCCGGCTGTGAGCTGCTGCGTTTCTGCTGACCCTCGCGGAAATTGGGGCCGAGCATTGCCTTGAAGACAGGCGAAGCTTTCGACAGAACCCGGGAGGAGACTTGAAACTGCTCATTGTGTTCGCCAACGACCAGAACGATGTCTCCGTCGGGTTCGATGGTGACGAAGGTCCCTAAGTCGCTTGTGTCGGACATGGCGATGGGCGAGTGGTCGAGTTGATGTTGATGTCGGTGTCGAGTTCAAAGTCTGCAATTTCGAAAAAGCTCGAAAGCAAACAGCAATGTCCTCCATCTTCAACTGAAGCCGCGCTACTGCAGGTCTGAAGCTCTATTCACGATACAGCATGTGCCACATCTGAAGATTGTGATCGCTTGCATTTCCCAGTGTCGAGACGCGAAAGCGGCGCCTGAGTATACGGCGCGATCTCTAAGATCGCTTAGATGCGCGAATGTTGGGTCAGGAGGCCGTAGCCGCCAGCAGTGAAAAGTGGCGCGGTTCGTGCAACATGCTGAACAACTCTTGGCGGTGGTGGCGCAGCGCAGCCTTGCGACCTCAGCTGCTTCTTCAAAGACTGCAAACGACCTTCATCTCCTCAGTCTGCTGCCGTGACTTCAATGGCGAGAATTCATCGGCGCCCACGATGGCGACAGCTCAAGAACTCCCTTCCGAAGCATATCCCGACCCACCGAAAGCCAGCATCGACGTCCTCTCTCGAGCCCCAGAAGAACTCCTCGGAAGCGAACAGCGGCGACCCGAAGCCGGTCGACCCGGAGCCGGTTAGAGTCTACTCTCTTGTGCCTCTTGTTGAAGATCCCAGAAACGAGATCCGCCTGCTCAGATTCGTCTCCGATGTTGGACATTCGCCACTTGCACTCCGTACTTCAGTATGCAGCCTGCACGATGCACCGCCATATGTTGCGATCTCTTACACATGGGGCAACCACAACACACGAACGGCCGTCATTGATGGAGAACCAGTACAAATCCGATACAATGCGTATTACGCTTTGCGGCAAGTCCAATTGCACCATCGACAGATCCATATTTGGATCGATTCCATCTGTATCAACCAGAACAATGATGCCGAGAAGAGTGCTCAAGTGGCGATAATGTTTCAGATTTATGAACAGGCAGCCCATGTCGCGGCATGTCTGGGAGTTCAGTTCAAGGATGCCGAATGGCTGTTCACGGTAGTACGTTGCTTGGAGCCACTTCTCGGGCGAGCGCGTTGGGCACCCAATTTGCAGGCAGCACTCACCGAAGCATTCTTTCCAGAGCATGAGGAGCCTCTCGGCCTGAGACTGCTTGCAGCAATACTTGCCCTCGATAAGCACCCCTATTGGAAAAGAATATGGGTCGTGCAGGAAGTTGCTGCAGCTCGTAGCAACGTCGAATTGCTTAGCGGGCCACACCGAGTCAGCGCGATCGCGATGGGATCGTTGAATGATAGAGCCCGATGGTATCGGTACTGGGAGGTATTTGACACCGAGCGATATCAGGGAGACGCCAACAGGATCCTTGCGATCGTGGGGTACCCCTTCGTTGCTCGTCGACCGTTGTACATGAATCTCGACAAATTTGGTGAATTTCACTGTTCCGACCCGCGTGATCGACTATTCGCTCTCATAGGGATCACAGACTGGGAGGAAAGTGGCTGCCCCCGCATTATTCCGGACTACACCAAGTCCGCTTGGGATTTGGCACTTGAAGTCGGGCCGACATTGGATCCTGTATATCTGCGATTCCTGATTCGTGCTCTCGAGATCGCCCCTGAAAATGAAGAAGTCGCTGGCCTCCAGCGGGAGCAACGATTTTGTGCCAGGCTGCACGCGATGAGGCTCCGCCCTGAGCTCCGCAATGAGCTGGACGCCGACTGGAGCTCGCCGACGTTTGCCGGCCGAAAATTCAGAAGAAGCAACTGTTTTAGACTGCGAGCCACCGCTTCAGTTAGTCTCTATGCTGATATCGGACACGGGAGCCCCGCACTCTCTCTGACCTTTCATATTCCGGCTCTTCGGGCGAAAGGTGACTCTTCGTATCAGATGGCGAAACCCATTATTAACGAGGATGGGCGCATGGTTGCGCTCGTGTGTCCAGATGCTCGGCCTGACGACATCTTGATCGCGGTCAGAGGCCTTGAAGGTGTACTATTGATCGTGCGAGAATCGGAGACAAAAGATGCGCACTACAGTATTATCGGTCAAGGCGTGTTGACAGAAGAATATGGAGATATCACAGGGTCGCGGCGCGGATGCAGTAGAGGAGGTCCCTGTAGCTGCTCACCGGAATTCTTCGCAAGGCGATCAACTTTCACGGCAGATGTGCATGTCGCGCTGACCATTGAAGAGCTGATAGCGCCAGGAGCACAACAGCAAGGGACATCCTACACGGACAAAAGCTCGCGTGTCTCAGCTGGCTTCGAGAGAATCGCTACCAGGCCCACTACCAGGCCCAGGAATGCTGTGTTCTTTACGAACTTCTCTTGCATACCGTTCTTTGCTTGGAATGAAGCATTATGAGCCGAGCCAGAGCATGTGGTACAAAAGCGCTTTAGAGAAAAATATGCACTCCGTCCGCTTTATAGGTATCTTAATGTGATAGATCATGACGAGACCTTGCAAGTAGTCACCGAGTCTCGTCCAGTCGGGAGACCAATTCTCTCAGAAGCAATGTCCAGTAGCATATCTGGAAGTCGTCCCGCACCCATGAAGTTCGGCGGGGGAGCATCATGATCTCACAGACGTGGCTGCCTGCTCCACAACCAGCAAAAGTCAACAGCTTTATTCCACACCCTGCGGCGTCTCCCAGAGCCATAGAGACAGCGGGCACCAGCGCAACTTCTCGTGGCCGCGGTCCGAGCGACACTGTGTGTCCACTGAGAACGTGATGAGGTTCAGACTAAAGGAGAAGTTTGGGGAATTGCGCGGGGCGGAGTAATCTAGGCAGTTAAGCATCTTGAAAAGTCTTTACCAGAGCAATTCGATCAAGGAGCAGGGTCCTTCCACTTCAAAAGAACGCAGTTGCTCATCCGAAGTCTTTGCATGGCAATCAGTCTCTACTGTAGATGTGCAAGTCGCACTCAGGTCCGAGGAAATGACCCTTGTCGCGGTACGAGACCAGGTGCATCCACTTTGTCATGCAAGTTCAACAATACACGTTGCAACCAGCTTGAAGAGAACTGTTACGAATCCTGCTGCACGGCCGAGGAATGCTGTGTCGATTGCGATTTCTTTCATGCTTCAACAGAAACAGAGCGGTCGCGACGTAATGAGGTCTTGCGTGAGTAAGATGTACAGTTTGGTAATCTGGTGCACTTCGCAGGTGAGACAAGAGATGGCAACTTCGACCAGTGAAAGGCGGTGGCCCGTTTGCGAGATGAAGTTTCTACCAGAGCAATTCTACATGCGCGACAGGCGGCGAATCGTCCTCGAAATCGGGCGCTTTCGCGTTGGGCAGTTCCAGCTTTCGCTTATGCCAGTAAGCGATGAAGCTCTGAGCAGCATCCTCCGTGTGAAAGCCAACGATGAAGACATGCGGTGGAGTACGCATTGGCTGTATCTCAGGTTCGTTGCTTTTTGTCTTTTTGATTTGTTTGCCAGACTCATCGCTTTCTCTTCCTTCACGTATTCCAGCCGCGTTCTTCTGCGCGAATTCGCTGACATCCGCAGACGACGGAGACACTCGCGCTTCCCATTTCGTGATGTCTAGTTCGTAGTTGTCTCCTCCTGACCAGCTGAGGTTGCGGCGTTTCCCAGTCTCAAGAAAGATGTGCTTTAAGCGGCTGGCGTGCAACTGCGGTCCGTCCATCGTCAAGCGGACCTCGACAGGCATCTTTCCTACCCGCTGTACAATGCCCTTGTATCCCCCAAATTTCACAATCGATTCTACCAAAGGTGTGAATGGTCGTTTGAGCTGATGCAACTCCAGCTTCTGACTCGGCGGCTTCAGAGCATATGCCTCGATGGCAGCATGAGCGTCAAGACCTTCGATCATGTAGCCTGGTGGAGGAGGGATCGGCGACGTGTTGGAGGTTGGCGTGTGTATAGAGGCCAATTTGTGTATACGTGTGACATGCTGTTGATATGTGTATGCACCGATCTGAGAAGTGAATATGATGTAGTAGAGATTTTGCTGCTCCAAAGTGCTCAGATCTCGCTCAGGAATGACCTGCAAGATATCGCTCTCTTCCAGTGTCCACCCTTCGATGTGTTTGCCCTGCGGTATCAAGCGTCTGAAGTCCTCCGTTGTCAGGTTCTTGCTGGCATTTCGCAGCACGAGGACAGCTGTGCCGGGTGGGGCATGTTCCATGGCGGACCTGAGCCGTCTAGCGACCGACGACTCGTGTTCATGCCTATCCTCTTCTCTGCTCTTTCTCGGCCGTCGCGGAGTAGGTATGGGCGGGAGGGCATCCAATGGCAGCTTTGGCACCTCGCGCGCTGCTGCTTCCTGCTGCTTCTCATAGCGTTTCGTCTCTTCGGGGAAGAGCTGCTCGATCAGTGAGGGCTTCGGTGAGGCTGTCTGTTGGCCATTGGCTGAGGGCGCTGAGCCGGGCGTAGGCTTCGAGTCTTCCTGCTTGCCATCTCGATTGGCATTGTTGCCATTGGGCTGGGATGGCGGCTGCTCGCCGCGACTGGCGAAGGACCGGCTGTATGAGACGACTTCAGCGGTCCATGGCCGAGACGCGATGCGCAGAGGAAGTTTGCGCGCGCGGAGCATCAATGGGTGGCATTGATGAGGGTGACGAAGACGAAGGTTATTCGGTAGATCGGAGGTGCAAGAAAGCGTGCGGTCAGAAGTGTGAGAAGCTTGGACCGGCGCGCGGCCTGGGCATAGGATGACAAGTGGGACTCCACCAAGTGTCGGCGATGCTGGAAAGGGAGAATTGTCAGACGTGCAAGACTAATGGCGGGCGAGTCGTGGAGCAGCATGTGCTATGCGTGCTGGTATTGGGCGAGTTTCTCAGCAATCCCTGCATCCATCGTGCTTCTAGCGCGTCGGCCACGCGCGCTCCTGCAGCCGCCAAAGTTTCTATTTGCACTTCAACGTCGAAGCCAGCACAAGTCAGTCAACTCGCACCCCTGCACTAAGACGCGCCGCCGCGGCCTCGATTCGCTGAAAAGCGACGACTGCCCGCCAGCGCAAACATGTCGACACCACCTCCACCTCCTTCTGCTGACACCAACAAGCCCGCCCCCGCCAAAATGGACGCTTCGCATGTCGTCGTGCGACTGCAACAGTCCAAGGGTCTGCAGGATGCCTTTCGGGTGCACGTCCTGCCCGAATCCCTCACCGACGCTGGCCTCAAGCTCAATGATATCTGCCAGATCACCAGCGAAGATGGCCTGACCACCGGCTATGGTATCGCCTGGAGAGCAGAAGACAAGATGGGCAGTAGACCCAAGACTCGCCCGGCCAAGATGACTGAAACGTTTCGCGACTTGTACGACTTCAAGGACGGCTCCAAGGTCAAGATTTCCCGCGCCGACACGAAATTGTATCCCGCCGACCGCATTGTGCTCTACGACGTCACGCCTGAAGGGCATAACAAGCCCGATGTTGTTGACGAGACGAATTGGGAGTGGAGCATTGGCAAATTATTTGGTAGGTCAAAATCGCTGACTTTGTCTTAACCTAAGCTGCATGCCCTCAGAGGTCCAGCTCCGATAGTTTTGCTTCCAAATTGTAAGCAGAGACACTAACTTTTTGCCAGAGGACTCCGACGCTCTTGCTGCTGGCGTCTCTTTCGAAGTCACGGGTGCCAAGAAATATCGACGACGCTTTCACATCGAACATATCGAATCTGCTGGAGCACCAGACGGAAATTGTTTGTATCGTATCCGACGAGGCACATCGATTGAGCTTCCGAATGGCACCATATCCAGACTTACTTCCCCTGTGAATGGCAACGGCAACGGCAATCTCTCGCTCCACACCAATGGCTTCCGAGGTCAGATGAATGGAGACACGACCCTGGAGCTGGATCCGCATCGCCTCGGGGGTTTGGTCGAGCAGATTCGGAAACTGAACGCCGCCATGGGCAAACTAGTGGAGGGCGCTCGAATCGCCAATGGTCACTCTCGTGCTCGCGCCGTCTTGCTTCATGGCTACCAAGGATGCGGAAAAACGACTGTCATGAAAGCACTAGCAGATAGTGGTTTCCGAAAAGTGTATCGCATTGAGCCTGACAGCATACTCAGTGGGACTCTGAGCAAAGGACGAACTCAGATCCGAGAGACCTTTCAGCAAGCTGCCGAGCGTGCCAACCAGCCTTCACTTATACTGATAGACAAACTCGAGACGCTGACGCCAAACGAAGAAGACAAGTTCTCGGACACATTTATTGACGAACTGGAACGGATAAAAGACTGCCGTGTCATGATCGTCGCTGCAGCCCGGTCAATCTCCGATCTTAGTGCTTCCATCATTGGCCCAGATGGATTCTGGAGGCACGTTGAGATACCCATTCCAGATGCCACTGCTCGTCAACAAATCTTGAACGTTGCACGACAAAAGTCGCCTTTCGCGAAGGATGACGTCTCTGCAGCAATAGCAGCACGCACTCACGGATACACTGGTGCAGATTTACGGCTTCTCCACAGCAAGGCGTTGGACGAAGCAGAAGACAAGGAGGAAAGAGAAGCTGTATCCCGATTGAGATCACCCAGTCTTCCTACTTACGATGAGGCAAATTCTTTCTATCACCACTCCTCAGCCGGAGAGAGCTCCCGCCGTAACATTGACCATCATGCTGAACCACTGGACGCTCAACTCGAAGATTATGAAAAAGCCCTGCCCAATGTCGTCCCGACAGCACTGCGGGAGATCTTTACAGAGAAGCCAAAGGTACAATGGAGTAACATCGGTGGCTCGGACAAGGTCCGCGAGTCTTTCGATAAAATTCTCGGCCTTCGACAAAACGACCGAGCCCTCCTCGAAGAATTCCAGCGAAAGCCCGAAAAAGGTGTCCTCCTGTACGGTCCTCCCGGCTGTTCCAAAACCATGACCGCTCAAGCCGTCGCAAACAGCTACAACTTCAACTTCATCGCCATCAAAGGAGCCGAACTCATCAGCAAATACGTCGGTGACTCTGAAAAGAAGGTCCGCGAAGTCTTCGCAAAGGCGCGCGCCGCGGCTCCGTGTGTCATATTTTTCGACGAAATCGACGCAATTGCCACTTCACGTGATCTGGATAGTGGAAGTAAGGGCTTAAATGTCCTCACTACACTCTTAAATGAGATGGATGGGTTTGATGAACTGAAGGATGTCCTCATTTTAGCGGCGACGAATAAACCCGAATCGCTGGATCCAGCTCTTATCCGACCCGGTCGATTCGACTCACATGTGTATCTCGGTCCACCGAATTTGGCGGCGAGACAGGATATCTTCCGAATCGCGTGCTCGGGCGTGCGTCTTGCAGAAGAGGTCAAATTCGCCCTACTGGCGGGTAAAACTGAGGGGTATTCTGGGGCGGAAATTGTGAAGATTTGTGAGGAGGCGAAGGATTTGGCGATTGGGAGGGTGAGGAGTGGTGAGGTGGCGGAGGGGGAAATGAGGTGTATTACCATGAGGGATTTTGATTCGGCGAGGGAGGAAGTAAGGAGGGGGATCACTGAGGAAATGTTGCAGGGGTATGAGATGTTTGCGAAGAGGTAGATGGGTTGGAATTGGTGGGTTTCTCTGGGAAATTTAGGGGGTGTGGGGTGGTAGAGGTAGAGATTAGAGAGGAAATGACATTTTTGGTTCGTTGGAGATGTTAGGTGTGATGGAATTCTGCCCGAGTTCCTCTGGTAATTGCATTGAAGCGAAGCTACCAGGTGTGAATATGCGTCGTGATTGATCATCGTTGGAGACATGGAAGTACTGTCGTCCTGCCCTGTTTCTCTGCCTGCAGCATTCGAGCCGAGCCAACAGGTGTGGAGATGAGTCGAGATTGAACACCGCTGGAGTCAGGGAGATATCTCCCATTGTGGCTTGTCTCTCTGTTGACAGCGTTCGAGTCGAGCCAATAGGGGTAGAGATAAGCGATGATCGAAAGTTCAATGGAATCAGAGATGATTTTAGGGTTGGCTGGTAACTAACTCCATTGACAACGTCCGAGCGAAGGCACTAGGTGTAGAGATGAGTTATAATTCAAGATTCAATTGAACTGGAGATAATCTTGGGTTGGCTGGTGACTCCGATGACAGCGTTCGAGCGAAGCCCACAGGAGTAGAGATGAATGATGATTTGAAAATTTGGTATGTTGGAGATAATTTTGGTAATGGCTGGTCCCTCTGTTGGCAGCATTCGAGCGAAGCTACCAGGTGTAAATATGGTCAATGATTGGAAGATTCGATGTGGTGGAGATATTGTGATCTTGGCTGGTTTCTCTGTTGAAAGGGTCTTAGTAAAGCTACCAGGTGTAAAGACGAGTGACAGCTGGAGATTTAGTGTCTCGGAGATGTTCTGGTTTGTAGCAGGTATCTCTGATAATTGCATTCAAGCGAAGCTACCAGATGTAAAGACAGGTTATATTGTCAAGAGTCTTCGTTCGTAGTAGACATTCTGACTGTGCAAAGTCCTTGCCGTCGGATGGTCGTACCCTTCTTATTACAACTCCTCCTTCAACTTAACATAATACGGACAATCCGGCCTCTTATTCATATACGCCTTCGCAAAGTACGGACAAAATTTCTTATCCTCTTCAACGAAACCCTTCAACCTGAGTTTCTTCTCCTCCTTCGACAAAGCTTGCTGCTTCTCAAACGGAACTTCTCCTGGCGGCGGATCAGGAGCAAAGAGCAATAACCAGAACACCCAACTCAGAATCCATAAGACCACCATTCTTGTGAGGGGATGAACATCCGTCGCTCCCACGTCTCGGATGTGCTGTGGGTTCGACAGAGAAACGACCGTCACGCGTCCAAGCCATCGAAGGCCAGGAGGAAAGAACCTGAAAGCGAATTGCTCCCAGACTGACTCCGTGATCAGTGCACTCCGCGGATCAGGTGGTCCAAAATTTTCTTCTCGTGCTGTCCACACCGCTTTTCCATTTCTTCCCAGCTTTCCGGAAACCCCGTCAATGGTTTTCGCTCACCGCCTGGATGGTGTGATTCAAAGTGTTTGGACATTTCTTGCCAGAACAGATGAGTCGCGATTTTTTGCTTGGTAGTGAGACGTGGGAGACCGAGTGTTGTGGCGAAGCGTTGGCCGATGAGGGCGGCGGAGGCTAAAGTGTAGACATAATCATCGTTGTGACCATAGCAGCCGGGCGTGACTTTTGCTTCGAGGCGGGCGTGGAGGTTGTTGACGTAGGCGATGGAGTCGAGGCAGCGTTTGTCGCTGGGGCCGTAGAAGCTGTAGTTGAGATGGTCAGATCGGTTGATCACCATTGTATGTTTGTCGTGTCGGAGGGTAAAGTGATCGATATGGGGAAGAGATAAAACCGTACAGCCATGTCATGTTGTGGTACTCGCTATCCTCGCAACGAACGGTGGCTTTGTGTAAGACTTTCCCCCCGTCTTCTCGCCAAATTGCCCGTGCTGCCCACTCGGGTTTCATGAGTTGTGGGAAAGTGATGCTGTAGATGAGATTGTTCATGAAGTCGTTCGCTTGGTAGCAGGTGGTCAGTCGCACGATTTCCTCGTAGTTTTTGTATGGATCGAGCGATTCGATTTTGGCTGCGATCCATTTGTAAGGGGCTTTCTTTGATTCGGTCATGTTTGTTGGCGACTGGAATGGAAGGAGTGCTTGGAGGTGAGTGAGCTTGGGGAACGGAGTACAGATCGATCAATTTGTACTCTCTTGGGAACCACTTGAAAACTCCATATATGCTGCTCTAGTCTTTGTCTGGCGTAGACAAGGTGGTAGCGAGCCCTCATCTCCTAGTGGTGCACTGGCAGTGACGTAGTGGATTTACGGCCGTGCAACCATGATCGACGAATGGGAAAATATGTACCTAGAAAGGTATTCTCCGGAGTGACCGAAAGTGACTGGCTATGTTGCAGGTATTCCCATGCTGTTGGATGTATTGATAATGAACGCTCATAGGCTGTGAATCGTGTGGTGCTGGTTTGTCTTGCTAGCTTGACTCATGCGGACTGTGCTTATGCTTAGGTGTTGCTGAGTAGACAATGATTAATCATCGTCTCTAGCCCTCTAAGTCGAAAGCTGGTTTGAGATTTAGGTTCAGGCGGTCGCTCTACCACAATACATCCCGGCGACTGTAAACGAATACGTCAAGCACCGAGTCATGCTTCTCGTGGACAGTTCTCAGGTGTGACTCTGACCAGAACGATAGTCCGGCTCGATCCTAGTATCCTCCTAGAAGCAACTACCACATCTCTCTTCTGGAGCCGGTACGAGAGCAGTCCACGAACTCCAGACTTCAAAGCCGCGTTTAGACTCTGCACGTCAGTCGCGATTTTAACACTGCGCTCCTTCTCGTACCGTCGATCTAGTCACCTCGAAGGTCGAAGTGATGCACAGGCCAGGAGATGGGATCTAGGGTGTCTCCCATACTTTCCGGACACACGTTTGTCAGCCGCAACGATGATCGATCCTAGAGCTGGCTCAATCGGCAATGGTCATCAAGCCAAAAGGAGACAATCTGCCGTCATCACGTCAATTGCATATTCAGCGTAAGCCCAATGACGATTTCACCAATTCTTTGTGATCACGCCCTTCAAGCTGCAAGTTCTCCCGAAGTCAGCCAGTATGTGATGTTCCTACCTCGTCAGCGAATCTTCTACGTTGAGTCAACGACGCTAGTTGCCAAGCTGTGGGATTCACGGTGTGTCGCAAACGCATGTGTGAAGATCTCGGTGGCTTCCCACGGTGGAGTGTTGCGCTGAGCTAGTGTCGGCATCGACTCTCAGAACTTCCTGATTGATCCTCTTCTGCAACCTCTGAGCGGATATTGCAAGCCCGGACGCTGCGGTTCGTTCGTGACAGATCTTGAAAATTGTTCCCAGATAGCAGGTCATGGCGAACTCGGAATCCGAAGCCAAGTGGCAATTGAAGTCCAGAGCGGAGACAATTCCGCTGTATAACAAAGCATAGCTTTGGAGATGCTCCGGAGACATGGAGAACGGTTTCCCTCCTCCAGCTAGCATCATCTTGTGCTTTTGCGGGCCTTGCTCAAACTGTATCAAAGATGGGTGATCCTCTGCACTGTCGAAGGTCCTGCTGCGCGATGGCATAAATCTGGTTCTTCTTGGAATTGATTCTTAGATCATCTGAATTTTGGCTTCGAACGCACAAGATGCCGCGCCTTACACCAGTCGCGAATGTCTCCAGTGCAAGGGAGGAATTCCATCGAGCTCTCAACTTCTTGCAGAAGGAAAAGCGAGTTTGCCAGTGCTGCGGGTCGAGCACTGCACGCTATGGTGTTGAGACACTGGACGACTGGGATGCACTCACAATAATGAAGGCCTCGCTATGTGCTCGGCCTGCACATCCTCCCTTACCTTTCGAGATCCAGACTGCAATCGACGCGACCTTGGCATGCGACCTGGCGGCACGAGCGCAAGTTTCAGCAATGGATATCGTTCCCGTTCTTCCTCGAATGATGGGAGCCGATGAAACATCGGACGAGATGATCCAAAAACGACCTGCGATCAGCGTCTGGAGGGGAGATATCACGAGCTTGCGAGACTGTACGGCGATTGTCAATGCTGCGAATAGCAAATTGCTCGGATGTTTTGTTCCCGGACACCGATGCATCGATAACGCGATCCATGCTGCTGCTGGTCCGCGGCTTCGTGAGGCTTGTCACGCTCTGATGCAAGCTGAAGGACACGACGAAGTTGAAGGATTGGCGAAAGTCACGCCGGGGTTCAACCTCTCTGCGAAGTTTGTGATACATACTGTTGGTCCGCAGGTAAAGCGGCATGGCGCTCCATCGGCAAACGATATATTGTTATTGGCGAGATGCTATGAGTCGTGTCTGCAGGCTGCCGAGGACCTGCCAGTTCGTGCAGATGAACGGAAAGTTCTGGTCTTTTGCGGGATCTCTACGGGTGTGTTTGGCTTCCCTGCCGACGAGGCTTGTACCATTGCTGTGCGCACTGTTTTGAACTGGTTTGGCGGTCGTCGCACTTCGACGATCACGGATCTCGTCTTCAATGTCTTTAGTGAAGATGATGAGCATTTGTATCGTCGTCGTCTGATCGAAAAATTGGCCCACACGATGGCGATGTCCTGGGTCTGCATGAGAAGGGAATGGCCCCGTCGTTGCATTTATCCAAGAATGTCCAGACGGCAAGAAGCTTCTTGCGTGAAGCAGATTACCTCGTCCTCAGTGCTGGCGCAGGACTCTCGTCGGCGACGGGACTCGACTATACCAGCAAGGAACAATTCACACGTCATCTTCCAGGTTTCGTGAAATATGGATTCAGCTGCCTGTACGATGTCTTCGGCTTCAATTCGTGGCCTTCAGACCAAGCCAGGTGGAGCTACCTCATCAATCATCTCATCCTGATTCGGAATTGGCCACAACAGGAACTCTACTCAGATTTTCGGGATTTCGTCGAAAGACGTTTCGCGTCTCACAATGATGCCGACACTCGATACTTTGTGAGGACTTCGAATGCTGATGGGCTCTTCATACGGCACAAATTTCCTGGCGAAAAAGTTTCGACGCCGCAAGGGCATTACGCTCAAGTCCAGTGCGTCCGCAAATGCAGAAGAGGTGCTGTCTTCGATTCCGCGCCGTTTGTTGAAGCTGCCGAGCCGAGACTTGATGCTAAATCACAACATTTGCCGGAGGATTTCGAGGTGCCGAGATGTCCATTCTGCAAGAGCGGTCTCGTACTGTGCGTTCGTGGAGGTTCATACTTCAACGATGGACCCTTCCTGCAGAAAGAGCGGGCGTATCATGAGTTCGTGAAGACTGCGCTTTTGTCACCCGAGAACAAAGTTGCCATCTTGGAAATTGGTGTCGGCCTGAATACACCATCGGTCCTGAGATGGCATAATGAGGACTTGGTGCGGAAGTCGACGGGCCAGGTAAGGCTTATTCGCATTGGCTATGGTGCAGCAGGCTTCGCCCCGTTGGATCTGGTAGAAGATGGACGGAGCGCCGCCATTCAAGGTGATATTCGAGACTGCTTGAGGCCAGTCATGGATGACTAAGTTAGTACCAACTGTAAGCATTGCCTAGATTGAAATGTGCACGGCATTCTCCTGAGGCCATCCGCGTTGTCCATTTGGCATCATGGTTCCAGTTCCAGTATGTTTGTCTCTGTCTGCGGCGACCAAGCATCTTGCTGATGTCGGGCGATAGGCGAAGGGAATTCGCGTGCGAATGTCCCACATCTCATTCGTCAATGGCAATGGTACCTGTAGTGCCAGGGTTGTGGTGTAGGATGAGCCTGCCTGATCGCTGTCGTCCCCGCAAACGCAGTTCTCGTGGATGACATGGGATGTAGATTGGCCTTGGAGAATATAGATGGTGAGAATGCTGCCGGGTCTGTAGTTAGTGGTGGTGGTGGCGGCCAATGGCACACGTCGACAACTTCATCTGCCTGCGTGGGGTGTTGTCGGCGGTGGTTGTCGAGTGCGATGGGCGTGTTGATCATCAGCTGAAGCCGAGGCTGTTTGGCGACGCTCCAGCATCAACTTTCAGAGCTCCTGCAGGCGGTCCTCATCCACACGATCCCCATCATCGACATCATCACCACCACTCCTCCCACCAACTGCATAATATCAACAACCACCACCACCGCAAAACATCCCGCTCCAATTCATTTCCGCTCACCAATGCGGCAACGCAGAAAACGCTGAAGGAAATTCGCAGGAGGATGTCGTCCTCCTCCGGCAAGTCGTCCGGCTCCTCCGCCAGCAACCTGAGCAGGAGACCGATCGACCCCATCACTCGGACTGCGCTGCGATATACCTTGTCGCCACGAGAGTATGAGTTGCTGCACAAATACTTGATCGCCCGCGCGCCGCAACGAGTGCAAAAACGAACACCAAACCCCTCGCGATACGAGAACTACACCAAAACAACCACCGAAAGCGAGGACTACAATGTCGCGTCGGTACGCGCTGCATTGCGCGTATTCGTCGCGTTGTTCTCTGCACTGAAGAGCATGGATTTCGTGCTGGCGAAAATTGCGCAGAGAAGAGGAGTTGTCACCACAACAAAACCTGCGCCAAAATACAAAAACACGCGGATCGCGCTGTCGTTCTCCACGATGCTGTTCTTCCATCGCATTCTCCATCGCTTCTTCATCCGACTGCGAACAGAACTGCAGTTCGACAACGCAGAGCCCTTCCGGACTAGGAATCCGAGGATATCACAAGCGCTTACATCCAAATACACCCCTGCCATTGGAGCATCGCTTGCTGGCTTTTGCTTGGGCGCGTCGCCTGCTGAGCAACTGCGCGTGACAATTGCGATCTATGTCTTTTCCCGCAGTCTGGAATTCGGATACAATCATGCTTCGAGCAATGGACTGATCTGGGGCAAGGGCAAGGACCGTCCGTGGTGGTTCGGCAGCTGGCTGCTCATGCCCTTCGCTTGCGGACAACTGCTGCATGCGTTCGTGTTTGATCGCGATTGTTTTCCAGAAAGCATGGGAGCTTTCATCCTAAAGAGAAGTCCTGAGTACATACAGCTCCGCCCCAAGGACTACCCGATTGGGCGCAGCTGGCCTGGCACGTTCGACATCGTCGACGGCTTAGCAGAGATCAGCAAGCTGCGGTGGCCCGCCTTCGTCAGCCCGATACTCTTCCCCAACAACCCACAAACACTTCCCGGTGGTGCAGCCGTGCAACGGCTCGCGCCCATCTCATCACCCGCACATCCTGGCACGAAGCACACTTCGTGTGCCTTCCTCCATCCCAAAGACCCGAGCTGCGCAAGGACATATCTGAAGTACTGGATCGCAGCCTTTCCGCCGATTCTCAAATTTTTCACGATGATCTACGGCGCCTTTGCTCTGCTGGCTTACAAGGCCCTGCTCAAGAATCCGAGCCCGGTCCTGAACCGTATATCCCAGCGTATCATCAAGATGTCCCTCTTCATCACTGGCGCCATCGGTACGTCATGGGGCAGCATTTGCCTGTTCAATAATGTTCTTCCGCGCAACTTGCTTCCAACCCAACGCTGGTTCCTTGGAGGCTTCATGGGCGGGCTCTGGGCGTATGTGGCGCGGAACCAAGAACGGGACAACTTCATGTACAGTTTCCGACTGAGTCTCGATTCGTTCTACAAGGTCGGAAAGAAGCGAGGATGGTGGCGAGGAGTGAAGAATGGAGATGTTTTGTTGTTCGTGGCCAGTCTGGCGGCTATTAATTACGTCTATGAGGCGCAGCCTGGTGCTGTGCAGGGCGCGATGATTAGAAAGACTTTAGGTGTGTTCAGAGGTGAAGGGTGGGTCGATCGCGCTGCTTCTTCGTCGAAGAAGGATGGAAAGAGGAGGGCCAGAGAAGGAGAGGGAATCGTGGAGGAACTGGAAAGAGTTGGCGAGGAGAAGAAGGATATCTAGGGCAATAATGAGGTTTGTGAGAAGTGAAAGTGAATTTGCATGGAGAAATTGGAGGATGATGTTATGAGAGACTGTGATACCCAATGTTGATTTATTGTACAGCATAATGTTGATAGTGAAATAGGAGCTCGAAACGACGATGTATCTGCTGATGAGCGCAACGCCCTTCACTGACCCTCACATATGTCATCGGTGGAGTCGCCCACGCTTGACGCTATTCCATATCAAGGCATCAGTGTTCCTCAACCTTATTGATCCTTCGAGGCGCGACTTCGCCATGCACGACTGCACCCGAGGAATCATGCCACCTGAGCGAAGACTCATGGATTCTGTCCTCTAGGTCTGATTATGCATCGCAGGAACAAGATCAACAGCATACAAAGCACGCCATGCCTAGGAAGAAGAAGGCCAACTCAGCTGATGGGCTCCACTTCGTTGTCAGCAATGGGCCCAAACCTCCTTCGGATCCTGCCGTTCGGACGATAATCCGGAGACAGGCGATGAGAGATGTGGGAGTGGAGCGGAGAGTGAGAAATGCCGAAAAGAAGCTCGCGAAAACAGGTTCGATGCCGAAGAGTTGTATGCCTGAGCAGCTTGAACAACAGCTGGCTGTTCGTGGAGTGTGCAGTGTCTCTGCAGGCTCTATCGAGTCATCTGAGGGGACTCAAACCATTCCGGACGTCGTCTTTGAGGACGAATGGAAAATCAGCGAAGACTACGATTCCGAGCATTGGTTTCTTGCCCGCCACGATACGGAAGTTTTCTGCCCTTCGCCATTCATCCTTCCGGTGCCAATGACAGGCTACGAAGCTACACGATCTCGCTTTGGAGTTGACCTGAGCATGCTCGATCGCCTGACGAGTTTCAGCGTGGGGAAGACTACTATGGGACAGCTTGCGGAAGATCCTTTCAGGATTTACTCGCTTGTTGTGGATTCGGCGCCGGAGAGGACGGGGTCGTATTTGGCGCTGGTTCCGAAACGTTATGGAGAGAGTAGGGTCTTGAGTGCCGTGACGGATTGTCTACTGGCGAAGGCCAATAGCACCTTGATGCCTTGTGTGGAGAATGAGGTTACGTCTTCGAAGCTTTATGCGAGGGCTTTGAATGTTTTGCAGAGGAGTATAGCGGATGACGGGAAGTGTCTGTTGAGTCGCTGCTCCCTAATTGAATGGTGGACATCATGCTGACATGGCACAGCGATTGATGCCGATCTGGTCTGCGCTGTGCAAATGATGACTTTGAACGAGGTAAAACAATTCATGTTTTTCAGTACACACAACAGTTGACATGCATAGCTCCTTGATCCTTCGAGAATCGATGCTTACGCAAACCATGTGGCGGGAAGTACTCGGCTGATGGAACATCGATCACCTCGTGCTTTCAAGGATGAATTTGAGAAGGCTTTGTTTCACAGTCACGTTGGACCGGTTGTGTCTGAGGCTTTGCATAATAATACACACTGTATGTGATCCTTACGCAGATGTGATTTGACACTGACTGGGTGCTGTAGGCTATTTAGCTGAGCCTGAATGGACAGCGCTGTACGAATCATTGGCTACCGCTACAGACAAGTTGACAGAACGGCACGAACTTGTGATTAGTGCTCGAAAACTTATATTTCCGCTCCCAGGTCTTTGGCACGACGTTAGCAAGGCGTTGAAATCGCACCAAAACCTCCAGGAGTCAGTTCTTCTTCATCGATTGGAGCAACGATGCCGGGCATTGGACTCACAATACGCAATTTGGCGCGAGGCTTACAAGGAGTACTGCATGTCACGCTCTCTCGCAATCCCTACTGAGCAGGAAGTCAACATTCGGAGAGAGACGTACGGCCAGGCACTGGAGTCTCTTTTGATAGTCAAGATGCTGCTTGCAACTGTGATTTCAGATGCCAGTGTTGTTGCAGAAGAGATTCGGGTTCTGGCAAAGCAGATCATGGATTTGCAGAGACAGCCCGTCCCGAAGCACTCGTGGCTTTTCACGGGCCAGGAAGTTGGTGTAGCTCAGGTGGCTATTGCGACTTGTGATAATTTTCTCGAAGACCTCAGTCATCTACCTCCAGAGGAGCGTCTTTCCAAAATGCAGAGGCGATACATGTGCTGGAGTGGGATGTTGAGAGGTTCTTGATGAGTATTGAAGATCGGACAAAGCTTGGAGTGGCCTGTTCCCTTCCTACACGGCTGGAGCTACTCGAGTACATGGGACTCCTCACTGCTTTTCCGCAAGCACACTACCTGCTTTCCAGAGCGCCATGATTGGAAGCGCGATACTCCAGCTATACGCCGCTGTTCTTGCCTGCAAAGCGGAAACATCAGTAAAACACCCACCAAGCAAGACATTGAAAACGAAAACTCACCAAAGCCAACACATCACTCTTCACACTCATGTACAATCCTAAATACACCACCCTCGCAGCAAAGAAGCCTCCAACCAGACTCCCCATTTCCTTCTCGGAGAGCTTGGCTTGCTGACCTGCAAGCACTGCGGCTGCGTATAAGGGAAAGACTTCCAAGGAGTTCAGATGTGCGCCTCGAGCGCGGACGAGATGGTGGTAGAGATCTTTGGGAAGGGAGGTTTTGAATGTTTCGAGGCTTGTGCGTGGCATGGCGTTGGATTGGGTGTTGCGTGTAGCGATCATGAGGCGAGTGAGGCCGTAGGCGTGGGGGACGAGAGCGAGGCCGAAGGCGAGGGGAATGCTGTGAAGGGTTGAAGAGGATGTTGTTGGTGTTGTTGAAGTTGAGGACATCTTGGCAGTGTTGGGGTGGAGATGGGTGTAGTTTTGCTGTTGCTCGTGTTGATGACCGATGGTTGGGAGTTCAGGTTGTTCTTGGTAACTTGTGATGACCAAGATGCGATGATGAAGATGAAAGACCAAGACGTTGTGAAGGGCGTGATGCTGATTCATCTATATATCCGTCTCCTCGAGAGACGCATGTGGGATACCAATGTCGGTTTGTGGTAATGATCAGCTGCCAAGAGATGAAGGTACATCAAGCTCCCGATTTGGACATTGGTGTTCTCTAAAGAATCATGCGTCGTGAGAAGCGTGCAGCACGATTGTTCCGAGAGTGATAGTCCGCTCTGGACACGAGCTGGGCCGCCAGTGCCGCCAGTGCTCCATTACAAGCCAAACTGTAGCATTGCCACGTTTGCCGAGGTGTGAACACGAGTCCAGAGGATACTTCCGTACGATCAATCCTGCGTACGGCCTCGAACAGGATAGCGCAGGAGGTTCATCGTTTTGCTATTACTGCACGTATCTCGTTCCGAGGTAGATTCTGTAAAATTATCTTGGCTCGAAGTCGATAGAGGTAAACTTTTCCGATGCAAGCTAAGCTGACTCCGATTCCTTAATGAAGAGGCGGCTCTGTATGAGGGAGATTGCTATAAAGTTGTATCCAGTGCTCTAGTTGCAAGCAGACTTATTAAACTGTCAGCATATCTTCGAGCTGGTCATGATGATGTTAACAACAATGAAGTGGAGCTCACTCGGGCTTCCCCTATGCCTGCAAACATTGAGCGCTGGGTATCAATTAGTCTCCAGCGCTTGCAACGCGTTCTCAATTCTGGCCCAAGCTGCAGTAGTAAGCTGCACTCCAGTCACCCAATAGTTTCCCGCAAGGTCTTTCCCAAGCACGACAATGACGTTCCTCGCCGCACTATTCGACTGCATGGAAGCGGCATGGTGGTATACCATCGTTCCAGGAGGATTCGATCTCGTTTGCCCGCTCTCGCTAGATCGCACTATTGCAGGACTGAAATCTACTGCTTCGAACAGATTCGCTCGTGTCCAGTTCGTAAAAGGCATGAGTAATGCGTTTGGGTCGCCCGATAAAATGTTTGGATCGACTCCTGGTTTTTTCTGATGCTGCTCGTGCAGTTCACGGAGAGCCGCCAGGACTTGATGCTCTGTGGCCTGTTCTAGTAAGGTTGCTCGGTTCTGTAGAGCAGCGGGTCCGAGCGGTCCTTGGACAAGATCGGCGCTCAGATAGGCACATGCTGCAACGGCCATGTTCTGGATGTAGACGCCTTTGCTGGCTTTGAGAGCTGGTAGTCGGAATCGTGCGTTGAGTGCGTGGAGTATCGTCACTGGTCGAGGCTGTTTCAATGACGAGACGACTTGGTGTGCAAAGAAAGCTGTGAGGACGTCGCCTTCGCTGACGAAAGGTGTGGACGAATTTCCTGTGCCGGCAGCTGATGTGGCAAGGCTCTGCTGTGCTTCGCTGTAGAGCCGAGACATCGCTTGAGCAGGAATGCACACAGTGCGCGTCTCGACAGCAGTGTTCCATAATAAGTCCCAAGCGAAGCGTGCTCCGAACTTGATCATGCCGATTGCGCCCATTCTAAGCTTCCCCAGCGCATATTCTTCTACCGTGGATGCTGGCGAGGATGCGGCTTCGGCAATGGCATCCGCGTGGGCGCCGATGCACTGCGGTACCTCTGCTTCACGCTCAGCGAGAACCAGAGACCAGGCACGCACGAGAGCCTGCTGGCCCATGATGTCCATGAGAACATGAGGCCAAGAAAGTCCGACGGAAGTAGCGTCGCTGAAGGAGGTAATGTGCATCGACAGCAAGGGCTTGTCCTTGTCGAGGAAGTCAGCCAGTGTTGTTGGCGCGCTTGGCCCAGCTGCGAATGATCGGAAGTCATCAGGGCCGACCTGGACTGAAGATGTCTTCGTCGCTTTCGGCAGTGTCCTTGCGAGCGGATGGTCCTCGATATTCAAGTCAAAACGTTGTTGTGAATAAGTGATAGCTGATCGCTCTGGAGTGAAGTTTCGAGGAGCGCAGATCTCCAGCCTGCTGTCTGTCTGTGATGCATGCGTCAGCTAGGCTTGTGCGGTTTTTCGAGCATGAATAGTTCGCACCCTCATTCGCAATCTGCCACCAATTTTGCGCCAGTCGCCAATCTTGAGCAGCGCTGTCAGCGCGTTGTGGAGTTTCGCAGGATCTAGGACATCATTGAAGTGAAGTGTCCATGTCACCACAATTCCGCGCAAAGTCTTCGTATCGTCGAGCATAAAGAGCGGATAGACGACATCGTCACTGGCTGTTGAGGGCATCTCCACGGATTGCGTTGCTGGTAATGCTTGTCCGGTCATTCTCGTCGAAATATAACACTACGAACAACCCACGAGAGGCTGGCAGTGAGTTTCATATCCATCCTCCACTCCGGCAGAGGAGCGGGAGTGCTGCAGTCTGGAGCCGAATCTCGTAGCTATGCGAGTACGCCCTGTCTGCCACACCTTGATTGGTTGTGAGACCAGAAAGGGATACGCCATCATCGAGGAAATGAAGGAGGCGCTTCGGTCCGCGCTCCGAGGTCTAGCTCTACATAGGCCAAGCGTATAACTCTGCGCCAATATGCGAGCTGATGAAGTATAATCCTGGCAAGCAATAGATAGGATGAGGCGGCACTTACAGAGACTCCCTGTAATGGTATAAGTGCTCTGCATGGTGGTAGACTCACGACAATATGATCTGCTTCCGTTCCGCCTCTTTCATAAGTATCGTTTCAGCCTGGTCATACAAGTCCACAACGCCAACACGCTGCCATTCTCGTCGTTGATTCTGCTCGATCATAAGCGTCACAGTCTTCTGGCGTCCATGTAACGATTGCCCATTGCCAAGAACAAGAAATGTAAAGGCAGAGCCCATTCGCAGACCTGGCCAGCCTTGGGGGAAACAGGCGGACCTTTGCTGTCTTCGAAAATTTTGTGCCTTTGACTGCAGCGTGACCATATGGCGATTGTGTGTCTCCTGGGAGGTCGCGCAGCCATCGTTCAAACTGAATCTCGATCACTTGAGCTTCTATAATCAATTGAGAGGGTTCGGATGTAAGTTCCAGCCCAGACTTCTGGAGTGTTTTCGGGAAGGCCTCGTTGACCACGACCTGCGATGCTTGGAGCTCTGGATCATTTAACAAAATCTCCACATTGGGACTCGCAACCAGACTTCGCTCTCCTGTGTCCAAGTACGGATTGACAGCGCCTAGGGCATGCTCAAGTGGCTTGCCTGCGATGAAACCTGGTCTATAGTGTCCAGTCCACGACCAACTTGGAAATCCTGGTCGACGATCGCAGTCAAATGCCGTTTTCCAGCACAGAGCTGTCACGAAGCGGTCGAGAGAACTAGAGACCTCTTTGTTGCTACGAGGTAGGATTGGAATGCCGGAGACTGTCAATAGCTCCGGATAGAGCATTTTGAACTGGTTGCGAAGTCCGGCAATCGCTTCTAGAATATCATCGTATTGCGTGAATCGGCGTTTGGTGTATTCTGCAATGTGGTTGTAGACGTGGTTGAGGCTGTCAGGTCTCTTTTGGGCAAGATTGGCGAAGACTTCGAATTCATTCCACCTGTGAAACTCAGCAGTCCCGTTGCCTCTGGACTGCGGCTGAGTCACAAGGGTGAGAGGGTCTATCGTTCCGTGGAGAGATTCAAGAGCATGCGCTGTCTTGCACTTGAAGTAGACTTGGTCCTTGAGCGCAACAACGCGTCGTACTGCAAGAGTTGCTTCCTGGTAGCACCAACCTCGTTCGCTGCATTCTGAGTTCTCGATCTCGTATCTGGGCGATGTAGGGCACAGCACGAATGGTAGGCCGCCCACTTGAAAGACCTTGCTCGAAGATCCGACTTGACTGGCCCTTGGCAAGCCGTCAAGAAAGTCAGGAGCAATGATAGTCAGGTCAGATCGCGTGTATATCTGATCCATCTGCTGTACTTGCTCCTTCCGCTTTGCTTTCTCGGGCGAGCCTTTGGAGAACTGCTGACCCGGTGGCGGCTGTGGGATGCAGTAGTTGTCGATCCATAGGTACTTGTACCCGAGTTTGGTGGTCAAACTCATAGCATCGCTATACAGTGTGGGTGGTGCTACCAACGTCTGAGCCTTGATGTGGCGAGTCACATCGAAGTTGACAGATCGATTGACATAGCTCAGCGTCAAATATGGTTCGTCGCGTTCGCGCTCAAATATTCGGTGCGTGGTGCAGTCGATCAGCTTGATAGTCTTCATCGGTCGCTGGAAATTCGACCGGCAAGCAGGGTGATTGTCTTTGCAGGATTTGAGCTGTGCCTTGACAAATCCAAAGTCCATTCTACTATCAAGTAGGCGCGCAGAAAATGCAGTGACGCTCTTCGCAGACGGCACGGGACTTGCCCATCCTCGACCACGCACACAGTTGAAGAGCTGTTGACCATCCGCGTCGCCGACGTTGTCTGCCTCGACGACGGCGAACGACACCGGCTGAGCTGGGTCTCTCAGACGCACTGTCGGCGGATCTTCGAATATCGTGCTGGTGTTGAAGGGGACGATATGGTATAGTGGCTCATCATCTAATGGATCGATATATTGAGGAACCTCTTCAATGCCAGCGAGAACAGCCAGATAAGTACAGACGCTGCAGCCGCGATTCCATGTGGATGGCCTGCCGAGCACATGGGTTTGTCTCGCTTGTGGTGTCGTATCAAATCTGAGCTTTGCGCAGCGCGAGCAAATCATCGGTGTCCTGGCTGCCATGTCTTCCCATCGGATCATATTCTTGAAGACAGTGTTCTCCCCAAGCTGACCTTTATACTCGCCATCGCTCGCTTGCAAGCTCAGCCTGCAGCTACGTAGGCAATATGTCTGCCGCTCTGCAATGCAAGACCCACCTGGGACAACAGAGCTTGAAGACAGAGCTTTCGAGTGATCGCGTCCTCCATCCGGGGCAATAGGAGATGAGAGTCTTGCGGGAAACAGGACGGTATTAGGACTGTGCTTGCGTATGTTTGCGTGCCGGCGATGGCCTCGGGATGGACTTCTTGCCCTATTCACCTCGGGCTTAAAAAGTCCTGGCTTCGGCTTAATATGGCCGGCCGCCCACACTCTAACGATCCTTCCGCATCCTTCCACATCCTTTTCCTCGTCAGCTCGTCTTCATTTATCTACACCCTAGTTCTACCGAGCAGCTGAAAGATCGAAAATCTGCAGTCTCACAATGCAGCAAGACAGCAAGCATACAATTGCATCAGCCAGTCGCTGGTCAACCGCAGACCGAGTGAACAAGACCTACCGAGAAGTGGGGTGAAGAAGCAAAATGTCGACACACGATACTGGCCTCAGTTCCGATTGGGATGTTCTTCTCCGCATTGGCCGTCAACATGCGCAGCATGGTGCCTGGGAGCAGGCTTCTCGAGCTCTTTATACCGCTCTGGAGAGATGCCAACAGTTGACAAACTCTGACGGGGATCTGAATGTCTGCATCATACTTCGAGAGATTGCATCTGTGGAACGCGCGATGGGAAGGTACAGCAATGCTCTCGCTGTGCTGGAGCAGCTTCTCGCCAAATTGGGTAACACAGAGCAACTACGGCTCAAAGTTTTGGGAGAGTACGGTACAGTGCTTCGGTCGATGGGGCGATTAGAGGCCGCCCGTGATGCGTTCTCGCAGCAGTATGACATGGCTCTCCAGCTGAAAGCCGAGCAACAGAAGTGCCGTTCGATTGGAAACCTTGGAGTCATCAACTTCCAGCTCTGGCAACGCACGGGAGATGACATGCTCCTCTCCACTGCCTTCACCCAGCTTGAGGATCGTGTCGAATCTGCTCGGGCTCTACGACGGGTCTTCGCCACAGACTCAGCGAAAGACAGCAAGGTTGATTATGTTCTGACATTAGAAGCTGTTGGTCTTGCAAGGCTATCGCTCTGCCACGACGCTCGAGGATCCAAGTCGGAGGCGGTAGCGACAGCACTGCAATCGCTGGGGCTTGCCCGTGGACTCTCGGACCCTACAGTGGAAGCAATATCCCGTTTCTTCTATGGCCGAGCGCTGCTCAATGTTGACAAACGCACGGAAGCGCTTGCGCAGTTTGACTTGCCCAAAGCTTGTTCTCCTGCAGTGGCATTTTGCAAAGAGCCCTCCGAAGAGAATCATGTCTATCTCAAGGAGCTTCTAGACTGTGGTGCTGATATGGATACTCCAGACGAGCACAGCTATACCGCATTGGACTATGCCGTATTCAACGGTGACCAGGATGCCATCGGCATTGTGGTCGAGTCGTTGCGCCAGCGCGCTCTCATACGCAAGGACAATCCGGAAGTTCAAGTTGCGGAACGCGTTCGAGAGGCAGAGCTGCGAACGGGTTATCGTGAGATTCTACAAGAAGGAATGCGACCACTCTTTCTTCGTCCCGATAACGACACACTTCAGCAAGTGCGTATAGCATACGCCGGTACCCATGAACGCTATGGGAAGACTGGACGATCATTCGATCCCCTCAAGTTTGTCAGATATCAGGACTTCCGCGACTTCCAGAAGTTTCCCCGGTCGAGCGATGGCATTACTCAGATCTTCAACGAGACTGCAAAGGAAATTCGACATGTCGTGTTCATCTCATACCGATGGGTCAATCGTGATCCTTGGGCAAAATTCCCTGATGATTCAGAGAACAGTCAGTACCGCAGGACTCTTGCCGCAGTGGACGACTTTCTGGCAGCCAGTCCATCGATTGAGCCGAAATCCCTGGGTATATGGATCGACTTTGCATGCATTGATCAGGACGATCCGATGCCCGGCATTGCTGCTCTGCCAATGCTGATTGCACAATGTGACGCACTTATCAGCCTTGTGGACGAAAGGTATTATGACCGTGCCTGGTGTTCTGTTGAAGTCATGATGATCCATGCTCTGCGGAAAGCATACGGACTTCATGCGTGGTATGAGCACGTCGACGAGCCAGGAAACAGATATGTACTCCGAGCAGGACCAATCCAGGCCGAAATCGATCCAAGCAAGAAGCAACTACGGTTCCAGAGCGACCTGGCACGCGTACAGTTCTTGCAGCGACAATGTCAATTGTTGTGTTGATCGATGCCACGAGGGATGGTGTGAAAGATGAATGCCAAGCAATCGAGACTGGATGTGCCACACAAACCGAGCTGGCGCCACTGCTGCCATCGGCCTGGATTGAAGAGCATGCACTATTCGGAGTCGCCATGATAGTCAAATGCCGGAGGCGACATGCGAGTCAAATGCCCGCTCATTCGAGCCAGATCTCCGGGTCAAGCACTCGAAAGAACAACTTGATTTGACGTAGGCACGTCGTCCAGAGACAGCGGGAGTCACATCAATAGGAGCTTTGTGCAGGCGGAATCGGTGATGCCTTCGGCGTTCGATCTTCGTCCATTCCCTGTGCTACTTCAAACCCGAACGGCTGCAGGCTTCTTGCCTCTAGATCGTTCTGTGTCTGAGATCCAGGCGCCGGGACTGTCATTGTCTGTGGAAAGGGCATCATGAGGACCTCGAGATGTCAAAGTGACGATGGTGTAGATGCATTGCGGGCAGCGGGGCAGCGAGCTTTACTACTGCACACGCAGACAGTGACGTTCAGATGTGCATGGATCAGCCTACGCACCCGCGCGGCCAGCTGAGATGTCATCTTTGTCATAGAGCATAGAGTGTCATGGACCGGTGTACGGACAGCCTCGCCTCCTCGTTCACATAGGATCTGCACAAACCAGCCATATGCAGACGGCGATCGCTCTCGGGACCGACTTTGAGAATGCCAAGATGCCTTGACTATACACATCAACGCCTTAGGCAGGACGAAGGATTGTACAACAAGGCAAAGGATCTGGCATCCGCAGCTATAGCCGCAGGCGGCGTGTGCTAAATCTAAACAGAAAGGCTGTATAACGATTTGGGCCACTCAGCTATGGCGTGAAGGCCCCACATCTCGCTGTTATTTCCGTGTGTGTGCAAGCGCGAGGCGCAGGGCAAGTGATCGACACTACAGTATATTGTGTACGATCACACAGCCAAAACTTTCTTTGTTCGAGTATTTGACCTCGAACGACGCTATTCTGAGATGGCTCGATTTTCGATCAGATTCCCCGAACGATGTCGCTGCCGAGTCGGTGGAAAAGTTCTTCGTCGACCGGAAGCCATACTTACAGACCGTCGACAATGTTCCTGCTACTCATTCTGCTCGCTCTCGTCCAGTATTCGATGGCTCAAGCGTCTTCTGCGACTTGCTACACTCCAAGCGGGAATATCTCAGCCGGTGATCGTCCTTGCAATTCTTCTGCCGAAGTATCAGCATGCTGTGCGCCAGACGCGCTATGCTTGAGCAGTGGCCTCTGCTTCCGCTCGAACCGTCTGTCGCGGGGCAGCTGCACAGATCGGAGCTGGGGTGACAACTGTGCTGCATACTGTCGAGATGCCAATCCAGGAGGGGGTATGCCGATCTCAGCCTGCGATGTTGCAGGCAACTTTGCGTGCGACATTGCCCCACAGGCTTCTCGGGCCTGTGCCAACGGCAACACTTTCAAGATCAATGAACCATTTGCTATCATGCTTCGGCCTGAGCAGACATTGCAATTGGGCTATACTGGAGGCTTAGAAGTCTTTCCGAGCAGTAATCTTACGTCAAACATCACATCGAATGCCACAGCGAGCACGCGCCCTCCGGGTTCGGGTCCTCCTCCTGCTGTCATACAGCAGTGGTGTTCAGGATTATCCAGCAAGAAGTACACGGCTGGAGCAATGGCAGGCGTAGGAGCTGGAGTTGGGATACCTCTTCTGCTAGCACTCGTCGCAGCGCTGTGGTATATCAAAAAGCTACGAGGACAGCAGCAGCAGCGTTTCGTAGACCCTGCACCGCAATACGTGCAAGAGACTGCAATTGAACCGGGATATGAAGACAATAAGCCATACAAGGCAGAAGCTCACCCCTATGAGATGGGCACCGAAGATGGGAGGAGAGAGTTAGAGTAGAGCGCTAATGAATGTAGTCGGGACCTGGCGAGACAGGGAAAGAGCAGGCACCCCCATCGTGCTTGGGCTGTGCTCTCTAGTCCCACTCTCCAGTGATGCATTCACTCTTTCACTATAAGGTCCAAGACCATGGCCTATCGACTAAACTTTGAATACCATGCGCCTTCGATGCACTCTGCCTCTAGCCAGGAGCTATTTCTTACCTCATTACAGGGCTTGGCTTGACAAAAAAGCAGCGTCCAGCGCTTCCACAGTGTAAAAATTGCTAATTAGTAATTGCTCTCCGCCCGGCATCAAGACGTACATAAGAATACTCTCCTGAATCGCTAGGTACGTTGCAGTAGCCCGGAAGTCCCCTGAATACCTTGGATGAGACGTCGGGAGTGAGCGTCTCGGTGGAAGTGATTTCTAGGTATCCTGCGTAACTATGTAACGAGCTCCCACCTGCAATCTCATGAGAAGCGCAGATGGATGGCCAGCAGAACGACTGCGCTCCACGAGCACGTATACTATGCAGTGCCTCGTATCGTTAATATTGGCCTGGTAGTAAACTACGGCGAAGGACGTGCAAGAGCCCAATAGCGCCTTCTGGCGGCGATTGAGGCTCAGAAAAATAGAATTCTCAAACTCGACTGTGCGAGCAACGCAGCGTTTAGCTCGTCAGCAGAAAAGCAATGTCGACTTGTCAAGCGGAACGCTGTCAGAAATCTTTTGCAATTTTCAGCAGTGGGTAGATGCGCCAGACGACATTTTTGTTTCTGGGTTTGCGTCAAGGCTAGTTCCAAGAGATCAACCATCAGCCGTACGGTTGCACAGAGTTTGAAGCTGTGCTTAGGAATTAATTCTTTTTCCAAGCGAGACGAACAGAGCCGCAGCAACGCAAAACACTTCTTTGCCACGATCGCTGCACCACGCTTAGACAAATTGGAAGCGCGCTTGGTCACGACTCCTTCGCCTGTAGCACAGGCTTGCGGCCAAAATTTGACAAGCTGCTCCTGCAGCCAGTGCTGAGCCTGGACCGATCTTCTGTGCCACAGCAAAGATTAGTAATTGTCATCGGTGGTCTCCACGGATGCGATCTCATCGGCATCTTCGTGGAACTCATCGCGTCGACATTACATGACTAGAACGCGACGACGTACGAGCAGACGCGATGTTATCGAGCAGGTAATCGGACGTTCGCGTTCTAAAGTAAGAATAGAAGTCAAGATGACACGAGGCTGATATCGTTTACACGAGAAACCTTATGCGTTTGCTAGGATAATAAGTTGACAGGGCAGGTATTAGTTGCGAATTCAAGCTGTCGGAGGGACCTAACAAGTTTCCATCGACCTGCCGATCGTGCAATGGCGTAATTCGGCTCTATAAGCTTCCGGATGTGTATGTTCCGCTTACACGAGCTAGAAATAGGTGAGCTACAAGCAGTCGCGCAGACTAATCATGTTTGTGTATATAGAGGGCCGGGAGAGAGTAAGAGTGAGGGAGGGAGAACGAGAATATCAGTCGTACAGTCCGCAGACGTTGCACAACTTACTACACCTCATACATCATGCGTTTGTGCCTGGTTGCTATATTATCTACACTAGCTCTAGAAGCTTTCGCGTGTCTTCCGTTCAATGGTACGTCTCTATTATCAATTCTCCCGGTCGGATTGCCACTGAAACTAGATAGCGCACTGCAATCCCAACGATAACAAGTGTTGCGGGAACATGGCGTGTATTCAACAAGGTGGAGAGTTCAAACATCATTGTCACCATTGTGTGGAAGCAGGAGGTAGGCTACGATAAGCATCCTTCCATTTGGAAGATTGCCGATTAATAGTGCCCACTTAGGCAAATGTGACAAAGGCCAGAAATGTTGCTATAACATGGGTTGTACCTACCATAATAGGGACACCTTTGTTACCTGCGGTTGATCTTCGAATGAGCAGATACAGTATCCGGTAGAAGCGGCAGCTTTATGTATCATGGTTTGGTATCATCTATGGAGAGTCGACTAATCAGATATTGAGACTCGGACGTGTGTAGGTTCAATACAACCTCTGCCAAAGAGATGACCCAGTGAAGCTGCTTCTAGCTTGATTGTGCTCATCCGTGATCCGTCGTGGAGATGCGGTGACCTTTCAAAGCAACCTAGGTCGAGTCTGAAGCCACTGCGATCGTCAGCAATTGTCTCAACCTTTGACAGCGCCCTATGGAAGATCATGGACATCCTTGCGTTGGCCTATCTTGGCAAAGACTTCAGCCATGCGCTCGGTGCGTTTCACAGCTGAGGCACACTGTAGCCATAATTCGAGCCAGGAAAGCGGACAGTGCGATGCTAAAAGTCGTCATCGCACATCTTCGGAAGGGCTTCTGCGCTTGGTCTGTCCGGTGATAAGGACATAAGAATCGGTCTTGTGCTGGTAACTGTAATTCCTTCTCTGCACTGTCATTGCTTTCCAGCCTTGTCCAGACCATCATTCCTCTAGCCACAACATCACTTTTTGATTTCTCGACCTTCGTTCGAAGGGGACACGAGAGCCCAGCTACAATCTCGTTTCAAACACCTCAAAAAGCACTCCAAGTACTACGTCGGTCATTCCCTCATTTGTTCCGAGCTTTGCGGCGACTCTGTGCGGTGAGAATCCTCAAACGGTACCGGGTTGATATTGTCATGCAACAAGACACAATCGATAGCTGACCAATATGATTAATAGAATTACATTTATTCATGTATATATGTACCTGTCAGTGTTCATGCTTCCTGTACGCGCACTGTATATCTTATTCATCATAAAGCGTGAAGGAAATCTTGCAAAGTTTGTCTTTCGGATACGAAGTTAGGACAGTGTCGGCGAAGTGCATCGAAGCAGTCATGTCTGTAGCTGGACTGGTCCTATATTTCGAATAGACCGCATGCAGGAGTGACCTCATTTCGGCCAGCGCTAGACTGTCCCCAATATTAGCCATGAACGGTCGAATTCTACTCTTCATATGACTTACTATCGACCAATACATGATCGCGCTCCGAGTCCGAATGACATATTGAGACGCTGGCGCTCGACGTTCCCGTTGGTGTCTGACCAGCGCTCTGGCAGAAAACTTTCTGCATCGGGGAAACTCTGTGGCTCCCGGTGCATCGTGAACGACTGACACGCCACCGTTGTGTGCGCTGGGATGAAGTAGCCCTCGATCTCCCTTCCACCACTGGGGACGTAACGCGGCAAAGATTGTGTTCCTGGCGCGTACAAGCGGAGGGCTTCCTGGATTACGAGTTCCAAGTAAGGGAGCTTGTCTAGCGGCGCATTTGCTGGGACGTCCTTGAGTTCAGTGTGCAATTTGTCCATTCGCTCGGCATTGCGAGGTTGTGAAAGCTCCCATATCAGCCAGCACAAAGTGTCGCCTGTAGTCTCGAGTCCCGCACCCAAATGGTCCAGGCATTCTGCGACTGCAAGTTCTTTGTCGAAACTTTTCAAAGAAGCGATGCGAGTCGCCACAGTGAAGTCGGACAGATCGTCCCGGTCGATCATCTCTCTGACATAGTCTCTAATGAGCTTATCCGCGGTAACATCGCTGTCCGCCTCTGGATTTAAATATGCGCGAACTTTGCTCAAAACAGGGAGGTAGTGTTCTAGAATCCAGGCTACACGGGAATTAGCCTTGCCTTTTTCAGGCTAGATTTGTGTTGTCGAGTACAGTGAAACTGACCGTGACCGCCCTCTCGGTAGGACATGTATTGTATGATGCGTTTGTCATCGGTTTGATCCAGAGAGCGAGTGCCGTGTGGGTGAAACAAAATGGAGGTGACGCAGTCGAGCGCGTAGGCATGAAGGTAGAACTGAATGTAGACTGGTCAGTATTACCCATCCAGCGCCATGGCTGACGACAAATTTGAAGGCATCACTAACGTAGATATCGACTGAAGGCGTCCGCGTGCATGCTTGAACGAAGGTGTCGGCGCGCTCGTTGATGCTTTCGATGACTTTCGACGCGAGGATGTTGGAATTGGAGTAACGATCCGCCAATCCTCTACGGATCATCGCGTGCTTCTCCACGTTAGGAAAACCAAATGGTCGGCGTGGGAATGGAAGCCATGTGGAATGTCTACCTTCTTTGGTTCTATAGCTGTAAAAAGGTTCCTGTCTAAGGTCAATCCTACGATTCGATGGGCCGATGGATGACCTGACCCACTCATGGCCCTCTTGCCGGAACACATCGTATAATTCCGTCTTCAGGAAATCCTTACCACCATTGGTGTAAATGATCTTTGCCGCCGCTGCGGTAGCAAAATGCACATACGAAGGAGCAATTGCGACGACAGGGCCGTACCGCATGTGTAGGTCGTGTACCCACAAGCGCGTCTGTCCTCGTGCATCATGCCATTTCAAAGGCACAGTACTCAGTTTCAGATACCATGGGCCCGGAATCTTGTTGATGCTACTTGATAGCATTCTGTCAATCAGGACGCAGGCAATAAATGTGGTCACAAGAAAGACGCCGACGGTGCCGTATGGGAAAGCATTGGGAGCTTGCGCAACCAGGGAAGGATCCGACATGGGGTCGTATGAGTTGCATTAAGGTGCAAAAATGACGGAAAGGAAGGATAGAGCACACTGCTATTTGGCCGCATCTTCATTCAATTCTACCACGTGTGCGCACAGACGCTCCGCGGAAGACGCGGGCCCCATTTGTGCTGCCCCTCTTCTGGGCGCATTACTCCACTACCGGTAATTGCTTTATCCGCGCAGCAAGCTCTATCGTCGTCGCATGTAGCTTCTACTGCGTATTCATTGTGTGACGTGGAATACTAATCACCAGTGTCGCACAGTCGTCGTCGTCTAAGCGAGCCTCCAAGAATCGATGACTACGATGAACTTAAGGTGTCGAGTCGCTAGGACTGTGCTTGTGGGATAGCTAAAGATCAGGCAGGAGCTGCTTACTCCGTAAACGCATGATATTGTCCTCACGTGGTAGAATTTACGATTCTTGACCTCCTACTTCTCTAATGTGAGTAGTATTACAAAACGTCTCAGCCCGTGAGATTTCGAGCTTCTTGTGAAAGCCGATCAGGGAGTCTTGAAAGTTGAAGGCTCAGATCCGAAAGGTTTTGTCATAGGTTTGAAGAGGACAAAGTCCTCCTGGAGTTACCAGAGCTTGGCGATAGCTAAGCTGTACAGGAGTGGTAGCAAATTTACGATGCTTTCCGAGATATTGTGATGCTCATGTCGATCCAAGAGCAAGTATGATGAGGGACGTCTATAACTTACGTAACACGAACCAATATCGAACTTCATCGGCTTGTCATGCATGGCAGTCCCCTATACAGGTTGACGTCCAGTCCTGGGCGTTCGGGCGTAGTCGATACTTCCGTCGTCTTGCCGAGACGCAATGCGAACAGTGAAGGCGAAGGAAAGCCCGAAGCGATTGCACTCCAACCGCAGCTGCATGGCATGGCTTTCTACAGTCAGTCGACGTATCTTATTCTGGGACCCAGCGTCTCCAAGTCTTCTGCCTCTTCAATCAAGCCTGTTGGTAGAATACTCTGTGCTACTTTCGCGATTCGCTTATAATGTTTGCAGGCCATCGGAACTTCTACGAAAGGAGGAAGGTTTCCGGTAAAGAATGACCAGAAGGTTTGCCGAACCAAGAGAACGGAATGCAGAGAATGGTCAGTCCTCCTGTATAGCTGAGTTCTGCCATTCCAGTAAGCTCCAACCAAGCCTTCGCTTCGATATCAAGTTTCCAGTAGGTCGAAGCATGCCTACGACGTGGCCATGCTGTCTCAGGACAAATGCCGCGCGGGATCTCGTGAGAAAAGAAAGGTATAGCGTAAGCAGAGTCCTTTGCTCAAGGCTTTCCAAGATAACTTGAATATACAGCCGGATAGTTATGGCTCGTCCCAAATGCCGTGGCTCTCAGGCTGAAGTCGACAAGGTCAAAATGGACTTGCGTTTGGAAGAGGCTGTTGAGGTTTCTGGGAGTAGGAAGTCAGTAATCACAGCCTAGGGGCCATGGGCATGTATACAGCCAAACGACGACTTTCGCTGCAAGCGTAGACCAAAGTCGGTGTGTACCTCGAGGTGAAGTCCGAAGCCAAGCAGTTTCATTGGCGGGCAGAAAGGGTGGAAGAATGGGATGGACAAGCCCCGGGACGAGGCGGCGGCTGACTGATCACGCGATGGCGGTGCAACGTGTGTGTTTCTCATGCATCTCAGCCGCATGACACGAAACAGAGTCAATCTTCCCACGCTCCTTGCTGCTCTGCCGTAGGACGTGGGATGATGTTGTGTACATGCCAGCGCAGCAGACGAGTAATTCGTGGCATTTCCGCCAAGCGACCATGGGCGTAGGAGAAAACATCGCGTCATCCTCTCCCGTCATCGATAAGCACCTGTCTCGTACGAGCCCACTTCACCCCATTCCATCGCTAGGACGGAGACTAGAATAATCCTACATACGGTCCGAGACTCATCCACGATTCTTCGATTCGAGCACCCGAGTCGTAGATACCACCACACCAATTGCGTGCCGCCATCTCGGACGCCACAAGCCCAGCCAAACAGAACGCGTTTCGCGTTGCATAAGCATGTCGAGCCGATATTTTGACGCGAAGTGAACCGAATCACACCTTTTTAAGCTTTTGCGCCGCCCTTCAGGACGAGATGGCGAGCTCACAGCAAAATCGCCCACCGGCGACAGTTTGGCATGCGGTTGAGGGCAGGAGCGAGAACCTTAGCACCACCGTCAGTGCGTGGCATGATGGACATTGATGGGCCCGAGGGACATTTGGGCTGACCCCGAATCAGTGAGGCCTTTATACACCAGCTGTCGCGAGCACCACGAGACTCGGTCACAAAGTCGGGATCCTTTCTATCATCCTGCGAATAATGGTGGTTTGAACACTGCCAGAACGGATACAGTTTCTTCTTCCATCGAGACGACAGCACCCAGACAACAGAGACCCAGATTTCTCACACTCAACTCTTTGCCTAGAATGCCTTCTGCGTCCCCAGAGGCGCAGCGACGTGAACCGATGGGCTCACCGTTCCTTCGATTACCCACAGAAATCCGACTCCAGATATACTCACTTCTGATCTTTCCTCGCCGGGCCATCGACCTGCTTTGCTCCTTCGAGAGAATCGATGCAAGCGCTGTGGATGCAGTCGACTATAATCAATGGAAGGTGATAGATGACGGAACAGTGCGACCAGATCTGCTGAAGAATCCAACTCTGCGCATTCGGACGGTAGACCCAACGAGGTACAAAGCCCGCTACGCAGACCGACCACATTCTCGGACGAGCTACAGCGTCCGAGCCGACCGCTTTGCTGCTCGATGTATGGCAACGACATACCACTGTGTCAACGTGCCTCGCATCGAACACAATCTGGCCATTCTACGAACGAATAAGCAGATTCACGCCGAAGCTGCAGAGCTGATGTATTCAAGCTATACATTCGATTTCGACACGCATATTGAGGCCATTATACCTTTCCTCCGCGACCTCACGCCTTTCACGCGCGGTTGCATCAAGAGCATACGACTCACGAAGCGGGCTTTGGCCTATTTGAAAGAGTTTGATAAGTGTGAGTGGGAGAACGCACTGCGATATCTTACGAATGTGGACAACAACATCTTCCTGCGGCGACTAGAGCTGGGCGTCGTCGCAGGAAGGCCGGGCGAGCGAGGCTGGGATCGCATTGCGAGCTACTCTGCAGCGGACTTCCGACTTCTGAAGACCCACGAGGGAATGGAATGGCTACAGTACCTGGAGGAGCTGAACAAGTTGCAAGAGCTGGAAGTTCAGGCGATAGTAGAGCACTGTCCGCCTGTGACAAGCTCTACGAATATGCACAATTATGTGCGCTTCTCAGCAAGCGTTGAAGGCGGTTTTGCGGAGTATCTGAAGGAACAGCTGCTGTGTCCAGCAGCACAACAGAGAATTGCTTGTCGAGCGTGAGGATGTGACGATACGAATGTGATGAGAAATGTGCGATATTAGAAACCTCACTTTGTAGGACTGTGACGATGAAATGAACAATGCCACTCTGAAGCTTTGAAGATCTCGCTGAGCTTATTTTGACCTCGTCTCGTGGCAATTCCTCTCCATTTCCACCTTCTGCCGCTATTCTTCACTTCAGCAATTCGCAACAATGGGAAGTATATCAGAAGCTGAGCATGTGCTCAACAACCGGGGTTCAGACCTTTCACGTAGGCCACGGTAAGTCAGTCTTTCTTTGAACACATTTCCGCCCCACCTAACAATCTTCAAAAGCGTCCTCGACCTCTTCGGAAAAGCCAAGCAAGATGGTCGCCCACTGCACGTTTCTGCTCCCATGGTGCGCTATAGCAAGTTGCCCTTCCGGATGTTGGTCAGAGAGTACGGCGCCGATGTCATTTTCACACCGATGATGCTGGCCCATGAGTTCATACGATCTGGTATTGCAAGAGATTCGGATTTCTCTACTCATCCCCTCGAATATGGAAGTCTCAAAGATGAGAGACAAACTGCAGTCATCGCACAATTCGCCTCCTCGGATCCGGAAGAATTTGCTCGCGCGGCGGAAATGATTGCGCCTTGGGTCGATGGGGTAGATCTGAATTGTGGGTGTCCGCAGAGTTGGGCGGTTAAGGAGGGGATTGGATGTGCTTTGCAGGAGAGTCCGGAACTTGTGGCGAGGATTGTGAGGGCCGCAAAGGAGAGAATTGGGGGGATGGGCAAAAGTGTTAGTGTGAAGATTCGAATTCACAAGGATTTGGAGGGCACGAAGCGCTGGGTTGAGGTCGTGCAGGATGCGGGTGTGGATTTTATTACGGTGCATGGGAGGACGAGGAGTCAGAGGAGTAGTACGGAGCCGGATTACGAGGCTGTGAGGGAACTGAGAAGTGTGGTGAGGGTTCCGATGGTGGCAAATGGGGATGCGTACAGTCTGCCTGATGTCAAGAGAATTGCGGAGTCGACTGAGGCGGACGGTGTCATGGCTGCGAGAGGGATTTTGGAAAATCCGTCCATGTTTGCGGGTTATGATGAAGTGCCTGCGAAATGCGTACAGGACTTCTTACGCTGGGCTTTGAGGTGTCCGATACCTTTTCCGCTGATCCTGCACCATGTGAGTGACATGACTGGTCGCATGCAATGGTTTACGAAGAAAGAAAAGAGGAGGCTGATGGAATGTCGAGATCTTCTGGATCTCATTGACTTCGTTGAGGATAAGTGGGGGCTTGTTTGATGATGCAAGTACTTATCTGGAAGACACTTCGCAAGTCTCTATCCTTCGTCCTCGAAAGGATCCCAATAGTCCGTCTTTCCATTTACCATGTTATGGATATTGAATCTCGCTCCCCACCGAATGTTACCTGACGTGGGATAATCCTTCTGCTCCTCATCACTCAGATCATCGATATTGCTCCACGTTGACGAAGACCCGGGCGGTCGATAATGGCCGAAGAGAGCTGGCGAGGGCGAAAGACAATTTATCATATCCCTTCCGAACGTCCCATCGCATAAACTGCGATACATGAGGTCCATTGGTGCTGTCAAAGCGCGTATCCCGGTTTCCCATAAGAGCTTTCGAGCACCGGCCTGAGAGACTCCATAGGCCAACGAGCAGGTCCCTCCTCGTGTCCGAGCGACCACTCGCGTATAGTCAGGATACTGACTGACAAGCTGACGATCGCTGAATTCGCGCTCGATATATTTACGAGGAGGAACGGTAATGTCGTTCGGTATCATGACACGAGCCGTCATCTCCTTTGGTAACATGACACGTGCTTGGGAGCTGATTGCGGATGCATTGCCAGGCAGAGGCAGTGACACACCGCAATGACCAATCCAGAGCATATCCCAGAGATCAAGATCACCATAGGGAGATGTCATAGGCTCAGTGGTGTTCGCATCGCCCAGCACGTAGTTCACCGGTAATGGCCGCGAGAACCGCGCCTCCAGTGATTGATCGGTGCCGTTGACGAGAGGTTGAAGAAGTCTTCTTGATGCCCGAGCAAAATCACGCATTTGTGACTTGATACGGATATCCCAATCGGCGTCGTCCTCGAGTATCAAAGCTGAAGAGATATTTTCATCTACTATTCTACACGTGAAAGATCAAGGTTAGCTCGATTTGGTCGATTCCAGTGGAACGAGAAGAAGGCAGGGACGTGCATACCGCCGAAGGATGTTCACATGCGACCGCCAAGCCGCCGCTGCACCCTCTTTGAGATCGACATCTTCCGCACCCGGTGGCATGAACTTTTGGTCAACGTGTGTTACAGCCTCAACGAATTCAAATTTCATCCCCGTGAGAGTAGCAGCAAGCGTGGCAGAATCTCTTCGATCCGTCCTCGATGCGAGGTTGATGACAAAGATCTTCTGGAACTACAGTCGTATATCAATACAATTGTTCCGGATCGAGCGATAAGACTCTTCAAGGACAGTGTTGACATACCCCAAGTGTTGCGTTCGCTACATCGTCGAGCAGCTCAGGTAGCGCCGGCGCTGTCGTGTCGTTGTGCGTCGCCGTGATATTCCACTCTGCGAATTGAAACCCAGGCAAGCTCGGATGCTTCGCCACTCCGAGGATGAGAATCACCAGCAAAAGCGTTGCGAGAGCGGACGAAGCCAACAGCATCTGCCGTGCGAACAAGTGGCGCATCAATACCATCGTCATGTTGCACAACGTTCCGCAAACCAGGCGTCAAAAAGACGCGAGGCGATTAATGAACCAACACAAACCCGGGAGTTGGACGACTGTTGGTGAAGGCTTCGATACAACGACATGATGTTGTCGGAGAAGTGTGCATCCATCACTCGGAATCGGGCACCCCTCAGCTATCTATACCGCAGTGTTGTAAGACTTCGCCAGGATCAAGAGCAACCTCCAATTGCGTTCCATTTCGGCCTGCAGGGCGAAATCAAGGAATAGACAAGCAGAAGGATGACAAGCCAAGGTATGCTCGGGTAAACTCGCATAAATGATATCGAACAAGCCCTAACTAATGTCTTAGGTCTTTCTTGAGTCAGGATCTCTCGGCGTCTGGCCAGTCACGGCCGGCCAGACTAATCTTTTGAAACTGTTCTCAAACTCGTGAGAATATCGAAGGCGGAGTCCATCAGCACATCAGCTTTTGACTGCATCTCGAGAGCAAATACAGTGACTTGCGCTCGGCGTCACACAAATGTCCGGACCCGAAAGCGAAAGTAGGTCATGCTGAAAACCCCAAATCTCACCCCTCTTAGTTTGCAGAGTCAAGGATCGGTGTATTCTCACTCAAGGATCGGCGTCTACTAGGCCAAGGTCCTGTGTTACTGGTAAGCACTCACGCGCTGCGAGACCCATCCCCTAGAACGTTTCTCAAGCTCCCCAGAATCTTGCGTGCAGACTTCTCATGCAGAATTTTTCGATTGCCAATCAATTGCAGATGCAGCGACTTGCCCCTCGGTGTCGCATAGATTTCCGGTCGTGGACGTGGAAGTAAAGTATGCTCAAAAACCGAGATCCGACTCTTCTCGCCCAGAAACTCAAAGTCCTGGACGTCTTCCTGCTGGAATGCCGTGCGCCATCCAAAGTCCTCGGCACCTTCTCGCCACGTAGTTGAGCCTTGAAGTATCTCCTGCATGCCGGCGCATTCGTGGGCAGAATCTTCGATGAATTGGCGCTGGAGAATCAACGCAACGCGATCGAGTGTATCTTCTGGCCCAATTCGCACCCGGACAGGTACTTCTGTGAGGCATGGTCCCACGACATTTTGTAGGCTGGGTGGAAGCATAGATCGTCCAGTGACTAGACGGCCAAAAACGACTTCCGCCTGATCGAGATGACGAGAGAAAGCAATGGCGCAGGCGGCTTGGAACATGGTCGCGATTGAAAGTCCTTCGCCATGTCGAGAGGTGGGCATTGCTATGGTTTCCTCCACGCTGAAACGATCCGATGTGCTGGCGCTATCAGAGCAACAACTGCCTCCGCTCCAATCTGGGTAAGATGTCCCTTGCAATCTTGACTTCCAGTACTCGAGACTGCTCTGTTTCTTCTGTGCTTTGTATGCCACATACTGCGAGAAAGAGTAAGGTCGGGTCAACGGGCATCCGCAGTAGAAGGCAGACAGCGTGCCGAACAGCATTGGGAGGCTGAAACCGTCGAATTGTGCGTGGGAGACTCTAAAAATCAAACGGTTTTCTCCAGTGCTCGAGTTCCGGACGGCCATGAAGCGGACGAATGATCGACCCAGGCGACGAGGAATCGCGAGATCTTCTTTGCACAGCGAGTTGACAGCATCGCTCATGTTGCCGCTGATATCGAAGATATCGAACGGCGCATTGAAGTCAAACAGTACAACTTGCCAGAGTCTGTCGCAAGCATGAATGAAGATCGTTCGAAGGATTTCGAGAGAAGCCGCAACTTGCTGACACGCCCGCTCGAGCTTCACAAAGTCAACAGCATTTGGCAGGGTCAGTATGTATTGCGGCAATCGGCTAGGAGGATCCTCAAATGCGTTGGAGATCGCAAGCTGTTGGAAGTCCGTGCATGGTAGAACGTCATGCACCTGACCCGGGACACCATCTAGCGCAGGCGTGACAAAGCGTCCAACAAAATCAGGCATACCGTCAGGAAGAAGCTGAAAGGGTAAGGTCGGCTCCATCTCACTCTCCGTTCGGGTTTCTTCTGCCAGCAATGCGAGTTCAGAAAGTCTCGGTGCCCTGAACACGTCCGCGACGGTGAAGGATATGTTCTGCGTACGTGCAGCGGATACCAATTTCATGGCTGAGATAGACTCGCCGCCGATTCGTAAGAAGCTGCTATCTCTCCCGATGGCATCCAAGCCAATGCCTAGAACCGCGGACCACAGAAGCTGCAACCGCTTTTCCATCGTGGTAGACGGCGGCTGATACTTGTGGTTACGAGACTGTAGTTTAGCAAGATCCTCTAGCGTGTATGACCCGCCCAGTTGCTGAAGTGCCTTCCGATCTGTCTTATTGGTGGTCGTCATTGGGATCTGGGCCACCGGAATGTAGACACTGGGGACCATACTATTCAACAGTCAGTCAGCATCATTATTGCGATCGGTTCCACGTCCTAATAATGAGGCAGAGGGGAAAGGACATACTAGCGAGGAACTCGGGCCGACATTCCTTGATGCACCCGATCAACGACATCCATTGTCTGCTCTTGACTCTCCTCCAGCCACGAGATACTGATGAAGGCAGCCAGAATGGGTGGTGCAGAGCCTTTAGCCGGAGTAATTACCTCTGCAGCAACACCGTGGACACCGATACCTCCATCATTGAGACTGGCACGCAGGTGGAATTCGACCTCTCCAAGCTCAATTCGTTGCCCGCGTAGCTTCACCATACTGTCTTTTCGGCCCACGTAATCGAAAGATCCATCGTCGTTGTAACGAACCAAGTCGGCAGTCTTGTAAAGCGTGCCGTGTCTACCAGGATGCCCCGTGGTACCTCGCACAAGCCAGGCGGGATCACGAATATATGCCATGGAGGTCTGGTCCGGATCTCCGAAATATCCTTGACTGACAGTTGGGCCCTCTACCATGAGCTCTCCAACAGTACCAATTGCGGCAAGGCGATCTGGTCGGTCGGGCTGAATCACCCAGCAGTTCGCTCCAATTGAATGCCCAATGTGGCTTCCACGGCTGTTAGCATTGAGGACGATGATCGAGAGAGTCGGGGTGCATTCTGCGGGACCATAAATGCCAAGAACAGTCTCGACGTGAGTCCAGCGTGACACGTCGCTCTGTTGAACTGGCTCACCTCCCATTGCTAAAGTGCGCAGCCCAGGGAACGCTGCCGGATCTACGGACCGGGCAACAGAGGGAGTCAGATAGACATAGTCGCAGTTCATGCGATTGAATGCACCAGGGATATCGTCGCGCCTCTCCGTCTCTGAGGGAATGCAGAGGCAAGCTCCCGCAAGCAGAGTCTGCAGAAGATTGGACCACGAAACATCGAAACTGTACGATACAAAGTCCAGGAGACGAGTCGTAGGCCGGATATGTATCATCTCAGCCTGGTGTGTAGCTGCGGAAGCAAAATTGGCATGGGTGATGACGATGCCTTTGGGTGTGCCTGTGGAACCACTCGTGAAAACAACTGTGATACAGGCAGCTTTTGTTAGCACATGTGGACAAAGTCAGTGGTGGATGCAGAGATGACTTACCATACGCAACATCAGACGGCTTCACCTTTGGTAGAGGCATCGCTGAAGTAGTGAGACTGAGGTCTTCTTGTTCAACGTCAATCACCAAGGACGCAGTAAGCTTCCTTACTTTGACTTGCGTTGCTCCGGATGCAAGCGCCAGAGTTGGTTTGATTTGCTCAAAGATCGAGCGCAATCGAGACTCCGGCTGACTCATGTCAATCGATACGCACGCAGCTCCGGCCTTCATGACCGCAAGGGCAGATACGGGGTGCCATTTAGACTTCTCGAAGCAGAGAGGCACAGGAGCGCTGAGATCCGCTGCAATCTTCATCAGGCGGGAGGCAAGGCGACTGGACAGCTCGTCAAGCTCTCCATAGAGCAGATCGCCGTCCCATGAGCAGATAGCTGGAGCCTTGGGATTTTGCTGAGCAGTAGCAGATATGAGATCATGTAAGCATTCGTGAATCACGTGGGGCACACTTTGGTTCCAACGCCATATCTCTGAAAGGTTTTGCGTACTCAGCAAGTCCAGATCTTGGACTGTCGTTGTCGTAGATTCACACAATTGGCGTAAGATGTGCTCAAACTGAGAGGCCATTCTCTCTACTTGTTGGGCAGAGATGACATTGTTGTCAAAACTGACCTCGAGGGAAAGACCAGTTTGCTCAGTCAATTGGCAGATGACCATGACGGCGTTGGGATTGAAGTTATCCATGGTGGCAGTCAGAGATTCAGGCTGACTGTGAGCTCCAAAGGGACCAGCAGAGTCTCCGAGAGGCGGTCGGACGGGCTGAATGAGTAGCATTGTGTTGAATCTACTGGCTTGCTCACTGTTGGCGTCAATCTGCCGAATTCGACCAAGTTCAGTATTTTCGTGTGCAACCATCGCTATCGATTGTTGTTGAATCATGCAGAGCAATTCATCTACAGTCTGCTTCGTGTCCAAACGCACCCTGACAGGTACAGCATTGATCAGTGGAGCAATAATGCGTTCGATTCCTGGGAGTGAAGCCTGCCGCCCGGCAACCAGAGTACCAAATAAAGTGTCATCAGTGTTTGTGTAGTAACTGGTCAATACTGCCCAGGCGGCTCTGATCGTGGTGGAAGGAGTCACATTTCGCTGAGGCCAGGAAAAGTCCACCAAGTCTCGCCGCACCGTATCATTTGCTTTCGGCCGATAATCGGGATGTGGCAGCGCAGGAAATGGAGCTGCTTCCAGGTCCTCGAACTGCCCTTTCCAGAACTCATCGGTCTCATCTCGATCCAGATCCTCAATGTACCTCATGAAGTCCTGGAATGGTGGAACCCGGCTGGCGTCGTGCATGTCCGAATATGCGCGAGAAACCTCCTGGAGGAGAAGACTCAGAGAGGTACCGTCATTACATCGCATGATGCTGTGTGAGAACGCAAGAATGTTCTCCTACCATGGCAAGCCTTGTCAAAGGTGTACCCAGTCCCATGTGGGACGACTGCGCTAGATACGCTTCAAAGGTATCGAATGCATCCCATCGAAGAGGCTCGTCTACTTGTACCTGCACCATATCCTCAGACCAGGTATGGACAACGCGAGTCCGCAGAATGGGTGCCTTCTCCCTGCTCACCGTCTCCCAGGCGGCTTTGAAATGCTCTACGTTCAACTTCTCGCGCAAGCGCAGACGGTACCTGGCAACTGATGCGCCTTGAAGCTTGGCCGTCATGGATAAGAGAGACTTTTGTACGCCAGTGCATGGAAACACGTCTTCAATCTGCGCAACGGAAACATCGCACTGGCGGGAGATCTCTTTCAGAAGCGAAGATAGCGAGGACCGGTTGCGCAGTAGCGAGAATGGTGCAACGTCACTCTCTTTCTCCGGCTGAAGCGCGGTCATTGCTTCTGCCATGTGGGCGAGTCTTGGCGCCATGAGTATGTGCTGGACAGTCAGAAGCATTTTCTCACGTCGCGCGAGCGCTGCAAGCCGCATCGCAGATATGGAGTCTCCGCCAAGTCGTACAAAGTGATCTTTTGGCCGAATCGTTTCTCGGGAGATATCGAGAACCGTCGCCCACCAAGTCCGAAGACACTGTTCGGCAGGTGTGAGAGGAGTCTTAATATGGTTTCCAGCTTGTTCTGCTGCTGATAAGTTCGCGCCCATCTCGCGTAGACGTCGTCGATCTATCTTGCCGCTGGGAGCAATAGGAATGGCTGGCACAGGAATGTAAGACGTCGGAACCATGTACGTTGGCAGTCGCTCCGAGAGCTCATCTTCGAGTGAGCGTAGGGCCTTGGACATATGCTCGCCCTCGTCAACTTGAAGAAACAGCGCCAAGTGCGGCCGAGCGTTTGCTCGTGGCGACACAATCTCTGCAACCACTGCTGGCACGGAATCGCGGTACACTGTAGCCAGACACTGTCGAGCGTGCTGCTCTACTTCGGACAGTTCGATGCGCTGACCACGTAGCTTGACTTGAGTGTCTTTGCGTCCCACAAAGAGCAGTGTGCCATCTGCCGGATCGTACTTCACCAAGTCTCCTGTCTTGTACACGACACTTCGCTGTCGAGGGCCATCTTTGCAGTCGCTTACCTCGTGAAGCCACGAGGGCGCGGGTACGAAGACTGATGCGGTCTTTTCCTCGTCTCCAAGATAGCCCGACCCTACCAGTGGTCCTTCGAGGTAAAGCTCGCCGACTGCACCGACTGACATCAACCTCTCACTATTACTGGGGTCAACGACCCATGTCGATACTCCCAGTCCATGGCCAATGCATGGTTTGGTGAAGCCTTGCCGCTGTATCTCATGGAACAGAGTGATCGCCGAGCATTCAGTCGGCCCGTATACCACAAACGTTCGCGCATAAGGTGTCCACCGAGTAACATCGCCAGCATCTACAGCTTCGCCACCGATGTATATGTTGCACAGAGTGGGAACATCTCGGGGATCAATTGAGGTCGAGACCGAGGGAGTGAGGAAGATGTCAGTCGCTCTGAACCGATTGATGCTATCGTTCTCGGAAACACCAGAATCTCTCAATTGGTACGCGAACAGGGTCGACAATTCATCCAGCAGGCTGTACGTGAGCTCACCGTCCCAGGCACTCACGGCAACTAAGTCGTGATGTTCGTTGGCCACTTCGGCGAAGATTTCGTGAACGCAACATTCAACCAGCCGCGGCTGGTGGGCATTCCATTGCCGTATCTTGTCCTTACCTTGCTGGTCGAGCCACGGCACATCTCGAACAAGTTCCTGGTCCAGCTCGGGCTCGCAGATTCGTCGCAAGATATGTTCAAGTTGCGGCAGCATAGCGTCAACCACTGTCGACTCCAGCGCTGCTACGTCATAGCAGAATTCGACCATCAGGTCATTGCCATCCAGAGTACAGACTATAACCAGGGCATATGACCCAAAACGACTGTAGCGAACGGGGTCTTGTGGCTGCTCATCTGCACAGAACAAGCCAGTCTTTTCCAAATTGTCTTCTGGCAGCTGTATCACCACCAGCGTTTGGAATTGGCAGGCACGGCGAGTTGTATCACTCATTCGCCCTATTCGCGAAAGTCCAGTCTGCTCATGTGGTATCATGGCCGTCTCTCTTTGCTGCTGTGCGGTGAGCAACTGTGGCATAGTCTGCGAGCCATTTATTTTCACACGCAGAGGAACAGTCGCAATCGTGGGACCGGCGACAGATTCTATTCGACGAAGTGGCGCCTTTCGCCCCATCACGATGGTCCCAAAGACCACGTCGGAAGAGTTGGAGTGCATGGCGCAGAGGAGACCAACAGCAACATGGACGATGGTGGATGGTGTATTGTTGTCTCCACGCCACTTGAGGTCAGTGATGGAATGGGTGGATATGGCATCAGGACGAGGTTTGTACCTCTCCGTGGGCAACTTCGGAAAGGGTGAGCCCTCCCACGAGTCGAACTGTCCAATCCAAAATTCCCTGTCAGCCTCCGCATCGCAGTCCCGGATGTAGTTGAGGAAGACCTGGAAAGGGAGAAGAGCCGGTGGAGTTTGCCCAGCATAAGCCCACTTGAGCGCATCGAAAATCAAAGATAGAGTAGGACCATCGTAGATCGAATGCTGCATGGTTAAGGCGAAGCAGAAAGTGTCATCTTCGTTGTGCATTGCGTTCGAAGTCCTGCTATGCGCTTGATACAGGCTACATCGCATAAGCGGAAGTCCCAGGCCCATAGTAGTGCTGATTTCCCCTTCCATCGATGTCCAGCAGTCGTGGTGGCGGATCACTGTCTGTACGAGACCCAGCGAAGGAATGTCGATAATGCGGGTACGTAGTGTTGGAGTCGAAGCGACGACTTGCTCCCATGCTTGCTTGAATCTCTCGAGTACAACGCACGACGCCAACCGCAGTACTCGATTGCTCGTGTAATCTCCCTGGTGCTTCGCGGTCAGCGCAAGTAAGCCTTCCTGAAGTGGAGTGCACGGGAAGATATCCTCGACATCATTCACCACTACAGCACATGCATTGGCCGCTTCTTCTCGGATTACGTCGATGCTCAAAGTCGATTTAACTAGTGCAAACGGACGGACAGGCTGCTCAATGACAGCATCGCCAATGAAACGGAGGGCAGTCGCCATGTCTTGCAGCACCGGATTCTGGAATATATCGCTCACGCTGAGTGTGGCGCCGCGATCACGGAGAAGGCTCACAAGCCGCATCGCTTGTATGGAATTGCCCACATTCAAGAAGCTGTCCGTCGTAGAAAGGGTACTTTCGCTGATTCCAAGGACCAGTGACCAACAACTGGCTAACAGTTTCTCATGCTCGGTAGTCGGCAGTCGTCGCTCGCGAAGCGTTGTATTCAATGGAAGCAGTGTTGCTGCTGCCATGCTTCGCAATTTGACACGATCTTGCTTCCCTGTGAGGGTCGTCGGAACGGCATCAATTGATGCGCAATGAGTGGGAATGGCATAGCGTGGGAGCACGGCGCTGAGACTCTCGTAAAGCCCGATGGTGAGTTGTTCGAGTGCCTTGGCCGAAGCTGTCACGTAGGCGATCATGGTGTCTTCGCTTCCGTCTTCACCGGGTCTCGAACCAACAACTACGGCTATCTTCTTTTCCGGGCGGGCGATGAAGCGTTCGATATGTACAGCGACTTCCTCCAGCGACACCATTTGTCCAGCAATTTTGAACTGGGAGTCGTTGCGGCCCACGTAGATCAAACGCCCGCTGCTGTCATAGCGCGCCAGGTCACCGGTTCGATAGATGCGATTATGTTTCCAGCTCCCACCCTCAACGAATTGGAGGCCTGAGCAGAAATTGCGATGTGTCAAGTCTTCATCACCTATGTATCCATCCGCGCAGCTGGGACCTTGAAGGACAATCTCGCCAGTGGCACCGAATGGAGCTAGGCGATGGAGGTTCATAGGATCTACAAGCCATAAGCGCGCTCTTCGAGGTACAAGTGATGAGGACGGAACTTTTCCAATGGCATTGCTCTGTCCTTCACAATCATTCACGTCACAAAATGATGCTGTCGAGAATTCCGCTGGCCCGTACCAGTTAATCACACGACAGTATCCGACCCAGCGACGCGCATCGTTCTGAGACACCGGTTCGCCTGCAAGGACGAGAATTTCAAGGCAAAGGACGTCTGTTGGTCGCAACATCCTAGCAACTGAGCCTGGCAGAAAGGTGATGTTGGCGCCGAAGCGAGCAATAGCCGCAGCCGGTTCATTGAGCCGTTCAGACTCTGATGGAATGCAAAGACATGCACCACGTGCCAGGGCAGACACTATCTCGACAGTCGCCACGTCGAAATTGTAAGATGCAAACTGGAACACGCGAGCGGAACCTTTCAGAGCCAGGTACTCGCTGTAGCTCTGCACATTCGAAGCCAGGGCTCGATGGCTCCAGACGATATGTTTGGGCTGTCCGGTCGTACCAGACGAGAGAATCACGACTGCAGGCGCCGATAGTTGCAGTGAAGGCAACGGAACCTCAGATGACGTGGGCTCGGCCATCTCCAAGAGTTGCTGTGCAGTCGTGCACGTTGTATGGGGCAAGGCTGGCGCCGCCATGCTGGGCGATACCACTGCAAGTTTCACGTCAAGCGTGGCGACAACGTTCTTCATGCGCTCTACGGGCACGGCGACGTCCTGGACGAGCGCAATAGCACCAGCTTTGAGAGCAGCCACGTATGCCACGGCGGCCCACTTGGATTTTTCGAGCCAAAGGAGCACCACGGAGCCAGGTTCGACGCCGCTCCGAAGCAATGCGGCGGCGAGGGCGTTGGAGACGCAGTCCAACTGGTGATATGAGAACTGCCCGTCCCATGCTTTGATGGCCACTGCTTCGGGATGCTTTCGAGCGGTGGCCGCAATGGATTCCGGCACACATGTGTCAGGCTCTAGAATTGCCGCATCGTTTTGACTTCGGAAGCAATCAAGATCAGCCGCGCTAGCTGTCTGCAGACTGCTCATCGGCGCTGCATGCGTTTCCTGGCGGCACAGCTGGAGTAGCAGCGTCTCGAACTGAGCGGCAATCCGTCCGCCGTCTGCCACATGAGGATCGAAACTCAACTGCAAATCAACGTGCGTAGCCTCAAGCTGCACATATGCATTGAATGGGTCGTTGCCGCGCGTTTCCAATGTCGAGGCGAACGACCTCGCGTGGAAGAGGGCGCTGTCGGCCTGGAGGCTGTGGCCCTCGGCGGGCGGCTGGACGACCAGCAGCGTCTGGAAGCGCGCAGAATCGATGTTGAGGCTGAAGAGGGCATTTTGAATGTTTTGCACGCCGTATTGCTCGAATCGTGCGATGTCCGTGCCGTGTTGTTGTACGTCGTCGAGGAAAGTCGCCAGCGAACTGCCCCAGTCAACGGACAGCGCCAGCGGAACGGTTGCAATGGTCGGCCCGACACAGCTCTCCGCCCGGCGCATCCCGCCTTGGCGGCCACTGACCGTCACCCCAAACCCAAACCCCAAACACAACATCCTCACTCGCAACATACTGCGCTTGAAGCAACGCCCACGTCGCACGCAGAATAGTCGACGGCGTAACTCCTGTCGCTCGCGGCCACTGGACCGGAATGGAACGACTTTCGGCACGCGTCGCCCTCGGACGGTATTCGCGCGACGGCAGTTGAGGAAACGACCGATACGCAGCTCGCGACAACTGAGTGCGCCAGAATGCAGCCGCTTCTGCCGGGCGGTGCTGCTGTTGCAGATACTGGATGAAGAGGCGGAATGGCGCCAAGTTCCCACGCGGCACAGACTGGTGGAAGTAGTGGCTCTCCAGTTCGGCGAGCATCATTCGCAGCGTCGGCCCATCGTACAGACAGTGGTGGATGGTCAGGATGAAGGCATCGTCGACGCAGGCAGCGCGACAGAGCGGTGTGCCAAGTTCCATGGGCTCCGCGTCGTCGTCGGCCAGATACTGCTGCAGACACTCCGCTGAACGCCAGCACGGCTCCGCGAGCACCACCTGTGCGAGGCCACCGCCGCTGGCCAGGTCAACGATGCGCGTCCGCAGTATGGACAGCTTCTCCGCTGTGCGCATCCAAGCGTTGCGTAGCCTCTCCGCCACGATGCCGTTCCGCAAGTTGAGTACGCTCCGAGACACATACCGGCCCTGCTCGACGCTTCCCAGCGCCAGCAAGCCTTCCTGGAGCGCCGTGCAGGGATACATGTCTTGCACCTGATCCGGCGAGACCATACACAATCGTGTTGCTGCAGATCGAGCGGCGTCGAAATCCTCGATGGATAGTAACGAAAAGGTCACGTACTCGTCATCTTCGGCGACATGTTGGCACAGCCGGCCCGCCATCTGCTCGAGCACTGGCGCCTCGAAGATGTCCGTCACTGTCAGCACGAGGCCTTCGCGGCCGAGTGAGGACACCAGCCGCATCGCGGTAATGGAGTCGCCACCGATGCGAAGGAAGTGGTCAGCTGCGCCGATCGATTCGGCTGCCACCCCCAGCACTGCTGCCCATTGTTGCTGCAGCTCCCGCTCCAGCGCGGTCTCTGGCTTTCGGGATGCGCATCTCCTGGGTTGCATTGACATGAGTTCTCCCAGCGTCTGCATGTTGCCAATTTCACGCAGTCGACGACGATCCGTCTTCCCGGACACGGTGATGGGAATCCGTGGAACGTGCAAGTACAGTCGGGGGACCATGTACCCGGCCACGTGGCCAAGAAGAAAGCGCTCCAACTCGTCGAGCGGCAGCACCGCATCCTCAGGGCTAACGAACAGTGCCAGGATGTCATTGTCGCCTTGTGCTGGGGTGAGAATCTCAGCCACCACGCTCACGTCGCGTACGTTCGTCATGAACGACTGCACGCACCGCTCGATGTCGCCCAGATCGATCCGCTGCCCGTGGAGCTTCCGTTGCGTGTCCTGAATGCGTCCCTGGATCACAATTCGGCCATCCGAAGCATATCTCGCAAGGTCGCCCGATCTATACACCGGGCCCTGGCTCCTCACTTTTGAGAATAAATCACTCTGAAGCCACGAGGGATGCCACAGCGCGTTCGCATTCAGAGCTGGTCCGCTGATCCCGGAGTACTCACCCACGATCGGGCCTTGAATGCACAGCTCGGCCACTGCACCAACTGGCGCCAGACGGTCACGATCTTTGGGGTCTACAAGCCAAATCGTCGCTCCAGGCAACGCGCGACCAATTTGGCCAGTGGACCATGCGCTTGGCTTGACGAGACAGCAAGTTGCTACTGGAGCTTCCGTGGGCCCATACCAATTGATCATCGACTGCAAGTTGCGTGACCACCGCAGTGCTGTTTTGGGTTGCAGAGGCTCTCCAGCACATACCATAGTGCGTAGGGATGGAACGTCTGCAGGGTCCAGAGTCTCAGCAACTGAAGGCGTCAGGCAGATCCAATTCGCTTTGCTGTCATCGATGGCTCCTGCCAGCCGATTGGACCGATCTGAATCAGAAGGCATACAAAGGCAGCCTCCAACCGGCAATGCGGACAATGCTTCAATGGTACTCACATCATAGTCATATCTGGAGAATTGGAAAACTCTGCTACTGGCGCAAAGTCCAAAAGCAGCAGCTGCAGCATGCGCGTTACTGGAAACCGTCCTGTGAGTCCACTGAATGGATTTTGGCGCTCCTGTCGATCCCGACGTTGACAGTATGACCGCCGGGTCGTCGCTCGATGGCCGAAGGCCTGGATCTGATGCTTCGCCGCGATGTGCTTTGAGTTCGACCAGATTCATTGTTTGTGTTAAGCCGTGGAATGGTGATTGATCGCACGCGATCGAGGTGACCACCAACACCGGCTGCAGGTTCGCCACAATCTGCTTCGCCCGGTGTGCTGAGCCTGGTGAGGCCATTGGTAAGGCCACTGCCCCTGCTTTGAGAACGGAGAGCATGGCTACGATGAGCCATGATGATCTGTCGAAGCTCAGGACGACGACTGAATCACGGCGAACCCCCAAGGATTGCAGACCGCGAGCAAGCCTCCAAGTCTCATCTCGCAATTGTAGGTAGGTCCATTTTCGATCCCAGGAGTCCACAGCAAGCGAAGACGGAGCCGATAGTGCAATCTTGTCAATCGTCTCTGTCACGGGGGCGAGGGCTTGATTATGCGCATCGTTGTTCCAGCGTCCAATGACTTTCAACTCTTGCTCAGTCATCGGGTTGACATCTCGTACTTTGCACATGCTCGCTCGCTCCGAGCAGAGCTGACGAAGTACGTGCTCAAATTGTGACGCAAAACGTGCCACTGCTGTGCTCTGCATCGCACCAGTGTCGTAGGAGATGGTAAGCTCGACTCCCGTCTCTTTTAACTGACAAATGATCATCATCGCGAAGGAGTTGTAGATTCCGTGGTTGCTGGCCTGCGCTTCACCAGCCGTCGACTGACCAGCGTCGGCAAAGCCTCCGTTCTGCAGCGGTCCCCTCTCACGAAATAAGTGGCCCTTCGCCTGCTGGCTCCTGGGAGGCATTCCCTGGGTGACAAGCAAGAGCTGAAACTGACTGGCCTCTTCCACTGCTGAGCTGATTCGAGCGATGTTCCTGAGGCCCAGCTGCTCGTATGGCGTGGCAGCAATGCTCTGCTGTTGGATCCGCTGCAGCAGCGTCGCAACAGTTTGGTCCCAATCGAATGAGACACGCACGGGAATGGTGGCAATCGTAGGGCCCACGACACGATCGATTCCCGCCAAGTCAGCTTGTCTGCCACTGACAGTCGCACCGAATTTCACATCACTTGAGTTGGTGTATGAAGCTAACAGCAAGGCGAGTGTACCACTGATAATGTTTGCTGGTGTCGCATCGCTGCGAGGCCAATGAAGGTCTTCTACCAAATGCTCGTAATCTATCTTCTGCTCCGGCTGATACTTCGGGCACGGAAAGACGATGGCCTCGGAACCTTGCAAATGATCTTGCCAGAACTCATGTGCTGCTCCACGATCCATGGATGCGCAGTGCTTCACGAATGGCTGCAGCGGAAGCAGTGTCGGCGCCGGATCTGTTGGCTTGGAGTATGCAGCTTCGAGTGCTTCGAGGACCAGCGAGGTCGACCAGCCATCGAATATGGAATGGTGCATTTCTAGGACCAGCATCGGCGTTCGTCCGGATTCTTGAAGTGTGGCACGACAAAGTGGTGATCCGAGGCCCATGATCGGTGGCTCGACATGTGTTCCCGAGTCACCGCCCGTGCGATTAAGAGCAATCGAGGTTCTCGCCACGACTTGGACAAGGCCTTCGCCTGGAAGATCCACGATCCGCGTCCTCAAGACGGGAATTGCGCTTACAACACTGTTCCACGCCATGTCCAATCGATCCGCGTCAACATCATGCGGCAGTTCGTATGCCGTCCGGGCCACGTATTTGTTCGCAGTGCGTGCGCCTCCTTTCGCCGTCTCGGCCAACATGCCCTCTTGTAGAGCCGTACATGGATACACATCCTCAATCTCTTCAGAAGCGATGCGACATGATTCGCCGACTCGTTCGCGGATACGCTCAATGTGCTCAACACATTTGAGCAACGAGAATGGGCGGATCACTTCTTCTTCTGCGATTCCTACTCCAGCCTCATTTGCCGAGACTCGGGCCCTGGCGATTCGTGCCAGATCGCGAAGTACTGGATATGTGAACACGTCGGCGACAGTCAGAGACAGCGATTACCGGCGAGCAGCTGCGACTAGCTCCATTGCCGCGATGGAGTGACCTCCAAGTTGCACGAAGCTGTTCGAAGCGCTGATGCTGCTCGAGTCAAGTTGCAGGACACGCGACCACAGCAAGCGAAGCTGTCTCTCCGTGGCAGTGTGAGGTTCATCGAACGTCTGACCAGGCATAATCGTGGCCTGCAATGAAACGATCTGCTTCCACTCCAAGCCGCTCGCCAGCTCTCACAGTCGTTTTCGGTCCAACTTTCCCGTGGCCGCTACCGGAAATTCGTTGACTGGAAAGAAGACGCTTGGGATCATGAAAAGTGGAAGAATTTCGCAGATCTTCTGCTGAAGGTTCGACAATCTGTCGTGGATCTTCTGCAAATCCTGTCCAGATGTCTCGACAAACACTGCTAAAGATGCTGCGTCACGATCGCTGGGGTATATCGCATCAACAATCACAGCCAATTCATTGCCCAGACAGGTTCGTACATAATACTCCACGTCGCCCAGTTCCACTCGCTGGCCACGGATTTTCAGTTGGCCGCCTTGAACGCGTCCGACGAAAAGAAGGCGACCATCGGAGAGGTACTTGACCAGATCACCAGTTTTGTAGACACAGCCGGATCGGCCAGGAACGTTTTGACTGCCAGCCAGCAGCCACGGAGGATCAACAATAAATGACAGTGATGTCTTTTCGGCGTCGGCCAAGTAGCCCTGCCCCACCATTGGACCTTCTAGGTACAATTCACCAACACTTCCTGGCGCCGCCAGTTGAGAGGCATCATTAGGACTCACAATCCATGTCGAAAAGCCAACTCCGACTCCGAGGTCTGGTCGATCAGCGGAAGTCGCATCCAGGACTGAAAACGCACACTTGAAGGTGCATTCAGTCGGTCCATATGTATTGAGGAGACGGACCTGGTCTGCCCAGCGCGTAATGTTGTCGCCATAGGGCATCTCTCCGCTCAGCAGAATCGTCTCCAAGGTAGGCTGAGGCGACTGTATCGTGCGCAAGACGGTAGGAGTGACATTGATCAAGGTTGGCTGGAACTGGCGAATCACGCTGGATAAATCGTTGAGTATATCCTCTTCCTTGGCAATGCACAGACAGCCACCCGCGCAGAGCGTGTGCATAAAATTACTCCAGGCCACGTCGAAGGAATATGGTGCGATGTCAAGGACACGCGATTGCTCATTGAACCCCAGCTTGCGGCCTTGGTAATAGACAGTACTGCACACATTGGCGTGGCTGACACACGCCCCTTTTGGCTGGCCGGTTGTTCCTCTGACTGATTAGCATCTCAACTTGAAAAGACCATGCATGGATCAAACATACGAAGTGAACGAGATATACACGATATCTGTCGGGCTGACCTTTGGCAGGCTTGGAGATTCGTCGTCGAGCCCGCCCCGCGTTTCGAAGCAGTTCTCGTCAATCAGAACCACTTCTTCGACGCCCAAACCTAACGCTCGCTCCTGATGACCAGCAGAGCATACAAGCAGACTGGGCTGCAATTGCTCGACTATCGAACGCAAGCGAGCATCGGGATGATTGGCATCGAGCGTGACAGCGGCACATCCAGCTTTGATGACGGCCAGCATACCTACACAAGCCCATTTCGACTTCGAGAACAGCAGGGGAATGTTTGACCTCGGCGCTACTCCTATGCTAATAAGCCTGACCGCTAGCTGGTCTGCGAATGCATTGAGCTGAGCATATGTCAAGTCGCCATCCCAAGCGTGCACAGCCAACGCGTCTGGCTTGTTCGCTGCGATCTTGTCGTGCACGCATGCAGAGATGGACTCGTGGACTTCGGCGTTCCAGCGCCAGATCTGATCGAGTTCTTCCGTTGTCGGGCATGGTGATGGCTCATCGATCGAGTCTATCTTGGCTTCCATGGCGGGCATTGACTTGTTGCTTTGATGCGCTTCAGCGAATGCTCTCTGAGAGACTTTGCCAAACCAACTGGACATTCATCCACTCTGCAAAGAGTCTCTTCAATGCCAAGAAGCTGGAAGCCCTGAGGCCAGGATCGTTCGTAGACCCACCAAGCCCTGAACGGGCATATACAGCTGGCCAATAGCTGAGCTCTATAGCTCTTCTGCACAACGAGTTCTCGCTCTGCATTATGCATTCAATTTGTGCAACACCACTGCAAGAATTGCGCGATCAGCCCACAATTGTTCACATAGCCATCCAATCTTGACCTGCCGGATGCACGACGACTCCTCTGATCTGCACGACGGTCCGGGTGTCCACTGGCCCAGGGACCTGGTTCCTGGGGCGAATACGAGAGGATTGCATGAAATGCAAGAGGTGAACCTGCATTACTTTCATGTGATTGCTGATCTTCGTTCGCTCCGGCGCAATTGCTCCCAACATGACTCGAGCACAGGAGGTGCAGATTGAGCAAGTGGACCAAGTTGCGGACGGTAGGAGAGGCGCCCGTCGCGGGCCTCAGACGAGCGCTACTTTCCGCGGTGACGAAGGACCACCTCGGATCCTCCTATTTCAAGCGATTGATATCCGTCGAGTATTGAGACACGCGAGGAACGGCGGTCTTCGCTCCGGGAGCTCTGTGCATGCATGCTTCCCAACGCTCCATTCTTTTGATAGCGAAGGTGTTCTGCCTGGCTCACGCAGGCAGGGAGTAACGACTCTTGCTAATCTGTGCGGAGCAGGGGAGGCCATGGAGATGCATTCTGAGCAATGTCACATGGGCGTCCCTACTGGCCAGTGGCAACCTGACATTCACAATTGAAGCCATTTGAATATGGATGCTGCGGCGCTTCAATTCCGACGAGGTGGCTTTAGTCGACTTCAACTTGCTCAGGTCCTGAGATGACAATTGCTTCCTCTTCAGCTGCATGACGTCTTCCGGGGCCGCTTGGGCAGAAATCTCATGGGTCCCTTTAGCCTCCAGATAGTTCGCATTCCTCACCAGCTCTTCACAGCTGATACTGGGATACCTGATGACACGGGTCGGAGAAGCTCGGGATGAGTTCACTTGAGCTCGCATTTCTGGCAAATTGTGCAGCATGCACATATATTTCCTCGTATTCAAGCATTATCGAGTTTGTCTGCGGAGCCTTACGATAAAGCTTCGGAGTCATTGATTCACTTGCATCACGGGCCCCCAGCAAATGCAGCTTGCCCCTCAGATCCGCGCCTTGCGCAACATCCGCGACCCAGGATTGCTCAGTGTCTACGACCTGGCATTGAGGCAGACAACGAAGGGTTCAAGAGTACCGAGATCGTATGAGCCCGGCCAGTAGGCTCTTGTCCGTACGTCGAGGCGGAGATTTCATATGTCATACGTGAAGAGAGCAGCATTCTCGGATGACGATCTCTGAACACCATGGAGCTTATACGCAACATCTCACAATTGGTTCAGCTAGATCTCAAACTTGTCGATGAAATCACACGAGAGATAACAGATACCGAGATCCCTTATCAGGTCACGTATGGAGAGTTCCAATTTGGAGGCTGGCATACAGCGGCACTGTATGTGCCCCAAGGTCAAGACGACAGCGACGCTATAGTGCGTGACGGCAAGGCAGTTCCAACAGCACTCCTTGACAAGCTGCCAGCAACGCGTGGATTCCTGGCGCAGCTCGACTTAGACTACTTCACGGTTCGGATAGCACGCAACGACGTGGACTCGTGGTTGTGGGAACATCGCGACTATATGGAGTTGGACCAGGGCATGGAAAGATGCCGACTTCACGTTCCGCTTGTCACCAACGACCTCGCTGTAATACAGTTCGAAAGTCATGCTGTTCATATGGCCAGAGGGTGGCTCTGGAAATTGGATCCCACCAGCAGTCATGCAGTGTCCAATACTGGTGGCTCTGGGAGGATTCATCTGATACTGGATTGCTATATGATGAACTCGATTCGCTGCATGGTGAAGTCTCAGCACCTCGACAAGGACCACATATTTCCGCTACCGAAACTCCTCGAAACCGAAAGAACGGAACTTCTAGCACAAGCGAGTCAACTATTCATGGACGAGGGCCAGGAGACGGCGGAGCAAAGCTTGCTCAAGACGTTCCATCGATTTGACCTTGGAGAAAGCTCGAGCTATGACTTGCTAGTTCAACTATACAGAAATGTGGGATCCAAGGACTACGAGCAGCACTGGCTCAAGGAGCAGAATATCCGACTGTTCAATCGAGAGAAGTTGGAGGTCATCGAAGCTTGAGCCTGCAAGATACATACATAGCTGCATTTACTCAACCTGTGGGCGCAATAGTGGACGCGGTCTTGCACATTACATGAGTCGTTCTGTGACTTCGACTACAGCTGGATGTGATCGCAAGCTCTTAGCGTTTCACGTAGACTGCGTTCTGGCATGATCGCCTAAATGCAGCTAGAGAATTCGAGCTATAGCTCGTCATCCTTCTCAATGGAAAGTGGATACTACATCGTGCGCTGCAAACTTTCTGCGCGCAGCTGAGCGTGCATGTACGAGCACATGAGTGGGAAAGGATACTCGGCAAGGGTTTGTCGCTTCTAGTGGCATACATGTGTTCTAAAACTCCCAAGTAATAAGATCATTCGTTCAACTTGATACGCTACGTCTCTTCTGTCGCAGCGTAAGATTACACGATCTCCACATCGACTCATGTCTCCATCGATCTTGAGCGACAATGGCTGGGTGCGAGAACCCATCAGACCGTCTAGAGCGCTCGTTGCTTTCTCCTACGATGATACTACTCCTGTTATCGGCCGCGAGTACCTCGACATGAACATTGTGAATGATGTTCTCAATGCCTCTGACAAATTGGAGCGCCTTCGGCAGCTGGCGTACACAAGTAAGGCATCGGAATACTTGGTTGTCCTGATACATGGCTGACTACTCCTTCGAAGTCTCCGCCAGAGGCGTTGTGTTTTTCCGTCAACAAGACAACCTCACAAATGAGCTTCAGAAACAGTTCATACACAGCTTGGGCGAAGCTGTAGGGAAGCCGAAGGAGTCTTCACTCCACATACATCCCCTTTTGAATGATACCTCCGACCTTGGTGTCGGCGATCCACAGATCTCTCACATTAGCTCTGTACAGAGAGAAAAGTTTATCAAGCATCTCGTCGACGAAACAGACAAGTACAGCTACCGTGGTGCGGAGTGGCATTCTGATGTGCAGTTTGAGCGCTTCCCTCCCGACTATACATCTCTTCGTGTTACACAGTTACCCAAAAACGGTGGCGATACTCTCTGGGCGTCTGGATACGAGATCTATGACCGCTTCTCGCCGGCTTATCAGAAATTTTTCGAGACCCTCACAGCCAGGTTCGACGGCGAAGGCTACAGAAAGGCAGCTGAGAACGAGAATTTGAAGATTCGAGAAGATAATCGAGGGCATCCTCTCAATATCGCATTGAGCTCTGAGCATCCTGTCGTGAGGACTAATCCTGTCACTGGCTGGAAGAGCATCTTCGCGATCGGACCATTTCCGTCCCGAATCAAGCAGTTAACTTCGATCGAGTCTCAAGACCTGTTGGCGAAGTTTATGAGGATGATTACAGAAAACCATGACTTGACAGTGCGATTTAAGTGGAAGAACCCAAACGATATTGCTATATGGGACAACAGGTACGAGTATCGGGATCTGCGGTATGATGGAAACTTACTGCTGACAGGTGCACGTTCCACACGCCAACGTACGACTATGAAGGGTTGGGAGAGCGATACGGAAATAGGGCAGTCGGAATCGGAGAGCAGCCATATTTTGATCCCAACAGCAAGTCGAGGAATGAGGACCTCTACGGCTCTGGTTCAGGTTGACAATATACTGCGGCGGAAGTTGTGCGGCGATAGCAGTGGGTTCTCTATGGGCATTAACTCACTGGTGAAGGTTGCACACCTTCTTTTCTTTGATGACAAGTATAGATCGTGGTTCTGTTCGAAAGCGTTTGGAAGCGCGCAGGTTCGTAAAAATCTTTTCGATGCTGTAAAGCTGGCAGGCTGTTGTAGCAGGTCCTTTCCGGGGCTAAGGCATCGATGTGAACTCAAGCCATAGTCAAGAGACATTGCAGTACCTTGACAAGTTCAATACCTGGCAATGATATCTCCAGGCACGCATAGGCTTAGTCTGGGAAGAACCTATCAGGGTAATGCTCCTTGATCTGTTTCTCGACATCATCCATGCATTGCTCCCTGGAGAAGTCTGGCGAGTCAGGCCAGCCATGCCGCCGAAAAATCTCTGACACCATCTTACCGGCCTCAGCATCTTCACGTGTCAGTGCGTGCTTTTCTTCCACGATCTCTCTAGTCACAGGGATTATAATTGAGCTCTCGAAAAAGATGCTTCAAAACTTCGAAGAAGTCCGCGATTGCCCAACAGCAATTGCTGACACCGCCGCCCGAGCGCCAATCAGCTTCTTCTTCGGGGGCGTAGTCATGAGGCTCATCTTGTACGGGCTGGATGGGCTGCTCGACTCTGTCGTTAATGACCGCCGGGTATCCAAATGCTGTTCCGCAGAAGTATATTACTCCGAGGTGGGTGTCCAGAAACATTTTGTAATGTTTCGACTCCACTAGACCAATCACATGAGGGGGCACATGATCGAATGGAAGTTCTGTGATCTGTGATGCGTCGCTTGCTGGGTATAATGGTGGACTGCTGGAGACGTCTCGAGCGTACGAGGCCCAATCAGCGAACACACAGAAGCCAGCGCCTGGACACAGATACCAGCTAAAAATCCAGTCACTGGTCGACAGAAAGAGACTGACTATGTATTGGCGTTCCATACGAGCGCTTTCGTACATAAGGGAGGCAGCGGAGCAGAGGCACGACCTCGTCGGTCTTGTTCAGGTCTTTGAGATTCTCGGGAGTAATCTCAGGCCAGCCACCTTCGGGAGGTTGCATGAGATATTTTGGGTCAAGATACATCTTCGTCAGGAAGTCGTAGTAATCTTGAAAGGCTGCGACGGTCGCTGCACGCGAATAGGTGATATTGCAGAGGTCCATTGTTTCCGAGATCGGCAGACATCCAGGTGGCCAATCATCGCAATACTCGTCTAAGTCGCCGCTGCTCTCCGCATGTTCCGACATCTTGAGAGCTCGATGCGTTGGCTATCTTATGAATGGACTGAAGTCACTGGAAGCCCAGATTGAGGACAAAACTCAACAGGTATGAATGAAGCACTGTTGCTTCAGGCACAAAGGGTCCGGCTTTAACCAGGCAAACTGCAGCGCTATGTATGCGCCAAGTCTTGGAAGAATGTATCCCGCCTTGGCTCAAAATCCGTTTGTAAAAGAGACGAACCGGCGAACATGCAGATCCCGCGGAGTCTGCTACACTCGTCGAGGTTTCTGCTCTGCTCTGCAGACAGCACTATCCTGGCGCTGCTGCCCTCTCACCCCGCCTCAGACTAACAACCAACTGACTATCATACTTCCCTCCAGTATACAACTTATGCCTCCCAACATTGAAATTCACAATCTTCTTCTCCAATCCATCAAACTCAGGCAGAATCGGATGTCTGCCTTTAACTTCCAACCTCATCGCCTCTCCAGCATCAAATACAATCCCACCGGGCCAGAGACTAATCTCCAATTCCACGATCTCGCCTTTTGCCAGCTTCTGCTCAGAAGTGTGAGGATGATAGACGTACGCTGGTCCCATGAGATCGTTGTACTCAGAAGTGGAAAGGTTTGGAAGCTCTTCTTGGACGATCTCGCGATGAGATGCGCGGAGACGGCCTGAGGGACCAATGTACCGCCATACGTTCTCGTTTGGTATGTCTGAGGGTTTTGTGCCTGGTGGGAGGTCTTTCATGGGGATATTTTGGTGCCAGAGGGCCGTGCCATTTTTGTCGAGTTTGCGGATTACGACGTAGACGTCCTGAATCGCATGAGCTGAGAAGCATGATCGCTGCAGGGGTGGCGTTGTCAACTTACTATATCGTTGTGATCATCTGTAGACATGAAGAGCTTGACTTTGGATATTCCACAAAGTTCGGTGTATTCGTGGAATGTATACGTGAAGAAGCAGCCTTCCTCAGTTGACGAGTCGGCTTGATATCCAGAGTTGGCTTCTTCTGCTACCTGGGCTTCGGTCAAAGTTCCAGTTGCAGCATCCAAGTACAATGTTTCGTAACGAAACTCCGGAGGCGGATACTCGGTTGCTGGTCGGTTGACCACTGACGGTCGGTTATAGCCCAGCATAGATTGCCTGAGCCTGGGTGTCTTCTCCCAGCCATTGTCTATACCTTTCATGTACTTGTCGAAGAATTTCTGCAAGTCGTCAATATTTTCTTTCTGGTAGATGTCGTGCCATTCTTGGGTAGTAGTCCAACGTAGCCTGTCATCCGCTAGTGAGTACGCTGAAACTCGGTTGACATTGAATGGAACGCAAACATACCATTTCTCAGTCGACGAAGCAAGCTGAAAGCCGCGCAAGGAGCCTTCCGTATGCAAGCCGGTGGAGTAACTCGCGGTCGCATACATAGGCACTGTGATATTACGCAGCTTCGGCTTCTTGTCTTCCCAGTAGTCGTTCCACAACGGATACTGATCGACCATAGCCGCGACGTCCTCACGCTGGTGCGGGCCTGGCAAGTCAATGCTCAGAAAAAGCTCACAATGTGCCAAGCAGAGTCACTCACCGCAGGCCCAAGCCATGAGCACATCCCAAAAGGCATGATCAGGAATACCGCCGCGACAAATAGACTCCCGATAGTAGTCGCCAAGACCTTCCCAAGGCGCCATACAAGCCAGATGAGGAGGCTGTTCTGCCGCGATGAACCATTGCGTCGTACCAAGCCAAGAGTTACCAGCCATTGTGACTTTCGAGTTGCACCATGGCTGTTTCGCGATCCACTCGATACTGTCGTAGCCATCTCGACCCTCTTGAGTACCATACACGAAGAAGTCTCCTCCTGATGTGAATGATCCACGAGCATCAATGTTGACGATAGCATACCCGCGGGCAACCCATTCTGCAGGATCGGGAGCTTCCCACTTTTCCAGACCGCTTGTTGCATGCCGAGGCACTCCAACTCTCCAAGGAAACATGTCAAGCTGTTGCATTCCAGAACCTGTTTTCCCATATGGACTCCAGGGCATGATTGCTGGGACGGGTGTTTCGTCTGATGTCACAGGGCGAAAGACATCTGCCAGCAGTTCGACGCCATCACGTAATGTGATGCGAATGTCCTTGTCCCATGTCACATCGACTGGGAAAGGGCGGCGTCCTTCATCCTTGGTCCAGCCTTTCGGGATAGTTCGTCTCTCCGGCGGGCCATATTCCACCCATATGTTCTTGGGTTCGCGATCGATGTCCGTAAAAGCTACTGGTACTGAAAATGATTGAGTCGACATAGCTTGAGCTTCGGTGGAACTACGCCTCAAAGCCCTCTCGAAGGAGATGAACAATATAGCGAAGGCTGGAGGCACTTGCTCGCAGTGCTGCCCGGATGTGCGGAGTCTCCACCTCCACATTCTGCGTAATGAGGGGTCTCTCCACTGCTGACTTTCTGGGATGTCCATGGAATTGCTCGGATGTTGGCTCACGGCATCACACTCCGGGATTTGGTATTCGAGTGCACTCGAGTGTTCGTATGGAACTGCACTTGTACCAGGTCAAATGGCCCACCACACGTCCCCGAGAAGACTTCTGACTGCTGCATCTGGGTTACTGATCTTCCTGGAACTTCGGGATCCCGCCTACCGCATGTGTATTCATTATGGAAGATAATGCCATGGCGAGCCGGGATGTTGTAGCACTGTTTGCCATGATACGCGATGCTTCCTTGAACAGCCGTGCCGAGCTCCGCTCTGCATCAAGCAGACCAATGCCGGCGAGGTGTGGTTGGCAGTCGTGCCGTCCACTGAGCCAGTCCTCTCTCTCATCATCAGGATCCGGCTGATCGAGCCTGATGATTCTGCTGGGCCTCGCTCCATCTTGCTGTGGTATTGTTGACGACGAAGAGCGCAGCCCAAGCTCAATATACACGTAGATGTACAGTACGCATATCAACAGACACATTGTGTCGATGTGGCTGAGAGCTTTGATGGTCCGGAAGTACTGAAACAATTGCGAGGCCTCGAAAACACAATCGTTTGCTCGTTTGCCATTTTCTCTGAACGTATCACAAAGTTGCCTGCGAGCTTCACTGGCACCGTACTCTGTCGTTTGCCATCTGGTGGCCCGACACAAAGTCCTGAGAGGTGTGAAATCCAGGATCCGGATGATCCTGACCATTATACTGTAATCGCTTGAGATCGTGGCTGCTTTTGCGGGGTTCAAAGGCTCAGCAAAATCCAGTTGCGACATTGTGTTGAAAGCTCTTCGTTGAATATCTGCCATACTTCCGGCAGCAGGCGTGGTGCTGTCGGCGGATATCTGACCGATTCCTATGCCCATCGCTCGCTCGAGGTTCTGCGTTTGATTTAGCTGAACGGAGGTGGAAAGCAACAATGCCAGCTGCGCCGAAGGACCGACGTCTTCCTGCAGCGTGCCTTCGATTCCGATTTGAGCGAGTACCGCACACAATGATCGCGGACTCTGTGCGGGAGGAAGTGATTGCCATTGCGATTGGTTCGCTTGCCAATGAGACTCGTGGCTGGGCAATGGCAGGTGTAATTCGTGCATAGAAAGCAGCGTGGGTAGCATGAAGAAGACTGATTGCAAGCACTCCGTTACTAACATGGCAGATCAGTATACCCGGCTACCATAAGGGATTGCTGAAGACACTTACTCCAAGCAAAGTAGAGCACACGACGTTTCGACTCGCTCTGAATCCATTGCAGCCAAGGATCACTTGTATCATCGGCCGATTGCTGGCTGCGCAGTATGGTGCCCTCTTGCGAGAGCAGTTGCCTGCAAAGCGTGGCAAGCACATTCCTGTATAGCTGCAAGTGCACAATTGCTGCGTTGTCTCCAGCGAACCAGAGCTCATGTTGGAAGAGTAGAAGTGACTGCATGCCCATCAGTGGGTCGCCGCTAACGATCAATCCTACCTGCGCATTCGTGAGCCAGCTTACTTCTGGTTACTAAGCTGCAAACTTACCTCTCTTGAGAGCATGTGACGCGCAAGGCGATGTAACAGACCCACGTGTCTTGACTTTTCGCCAGCTGAAGAATACTGACAACCGATGCAGGCAACAGCTAGAACAAGCTGCCACGCCTCTGGACAAGGCCGAAATGTGGGCAAGTGCAGCAGTGGCATACGAGGATGATAGTGCTCAAAGTACAGCTGAATGTAGGCATCCAAGTGCTGCAGAGATGGGAATGTACTCGCCAACGCATCAGCTTCACTCGAAGGAAGATCGTTCCTGACGAAACGCAGAATGCGCGCGTGGGTCTCGGGTCCGACTTGTGGAACGTGCGGTATGTATTCGGCAGTCAAGATGTCGTCTTCCTCGGTCGTGAGGCTTTCTTGTTCCAGCACGCTTCTCACGTCTAGAGAAGGAGGTGGAGATGCGATGTAAGTGTTGTGCTGTTGCATCGAGGTTGGCAAGGCAGTCAGAGAGCTGCCGCCTACGAAGAAATCCCACACATCATCCGGACCTAATTGCGGGATGGGAGAAAATGGAAACGCGAACGAAGGCGACAGAAAGTCGTTGGCTGGAGTCTCGACATGAATTGGCGTTGGAAAGGCTGCCGTCGTCTGCTGAGTCGGCAGATTCATGTTCTCCATGGCGGGATTCTGTAACGAGTCGCCCGAAAGTAGACCATGGGAGTCCACAGCATCACCATCACTCTGTGGGATCAGGGTCGCAGACCTGGCACCGTTGTCAAGAGGGTTCAGATCAACAAACTCATCCAGCGGGCCGTCATTGTTGAAGCTGTGTGCCTCAGATTCTCCTGGCGCAGGGTCTCGGTATGTGCAGACACGACCACGGGCGGCACAATTACTGCAGTCTGCAAGTCCAGTACCATCGCAGCGTTGTTTGGCCTGGGCACAAGCAAGACAGGCGTGACGATGTGGATGTGCATTCTGTTGCGTCCATTCCGCAAGTGCCGCGGAGCCATGTGTGCTCATATGCCGCTTGAGAGTGTCCCTACATGCATCATTGCTTAGTCCTGCTGGGCTCGCTCGATTGATTCCTTTGGTGGAGATGCCTACCTCCGCGGAAAGCTCCTGTCACAGAACTGGCATTGATGCGGGCGGGCTCCGGAATGCCGATCGAGGTGGCGATTGAGATGTTCGCGGCGCCGGAAAGTCAGATCGCAGTGGTGACAAACGAGCGATGCCGTGCTCTCCCGAGTCCGAGGTGCCTCATTAGCAGTGGGTGCCATGCCATACAGTGCCAGCGCGAGGGAGTGGGAGATCCGGAAATTGTCCAGCGAAGAGCTGCGGGGGCGGGGAAATTATATACAAGATTGCAACCTCAGCGGCCCGTGTCGGATTCGCGCTAGAATATCACCGAGGCGTGCATGGAAGGCGGAGAAGCTTGTTGGTAAACCTTGATCTCCTCTGGGGAAAGTACAGAGGGGTCTGAGTTGGTCGCAATTGCCGGTAACGAAGAGACATTGATGTCGGTTTGGAATCGAAGATCTTCAGGTCTCAGTTGATGCCTGAGGCATTACTTCGGTGTTTCATTCGACTCCATCCGAAAACGACACGAATTATGCAACACTCTCCTCTACATATGTCTACACTATACTCGGCACTATTTCCACACGACCCGTATGCGCTCATGAAGGCTCGGTCTGACCCATCGAGGCCTGTCGCGCCTTCTCCATATGCGGATGGTCGTAGAAGACCTTTCCTTCTGGACCATCCTGCTTAGCCGCTTCCTCAATCGCATCGAACACTTCGCCGGCTACAGGCGGCTCCTGCGATGACAGCTTCACGGTCCCCTGAACGCGCTCAGCCTTGGATGAGGAAGTCACCACGATTCCGTTGAGCCGATAATACGCCCACGATAGCAGCAAGTCGCCAGTAGAAAGGCCTGTCTGCTTCGAGGCTGACTCCAGCTGCCGCAGCAAGGCTGAAGTATCTGCAGAAGGCAGACGCCCGGAAATGGCAGTCAGGAAGCCGTAGTCTACAGCCATCGTCAGCACTCTGGTCCTCAAATTGAAATTGGCCTGAGCATACTCATATGGACGATTCCATGCTTGCTTTCGTATGCATGCAGCGCACGAAACTTGTCATCAAATAACAGGAAAGGATTGAATTCGTACTCGTTGAGCTGTGGCGGATGTTTGAGATCTGAAGCGTTCATGATGTCGTGGTAATCCGCAAGGGTCCTGCGAATGCCCAGGTCAGCCACGACGGTACTGCATCAGACCACAAACACTCACCAATTAGACACTCCAATAATTCGAGCGATGCCCTGGTCTTTCAGCTCTTCCAGGACTCGCCATGCTTCCCGGTTCGACAACTGCCCAGCATACCCTCGAGGCGGAAAGTGCAGCTGCAGGACATCGACATAGCCAGCGAGCCCAAAACGATCAATCTCTCGCTTTGCGTTCTCGATCATGTGGTCTCGTCCGCGACAGCCGAGTATGGCATATGTGTTCAGCTTCAAGCTCAGAAAGATCTCGTGTCTCTGCAGACCACTGGATCGCAGCACTTCTGCAGCACTTTCGTTGTTGGTGTACAAATCGCCAGTATTGAAGTGTCGAAATCCGGCTGCTATCGCTTGTCGTACTTCTTTGCTGCTGTCTGTTGGCAGTGGGTATGCATGATTTGGTGCCCATTTCATCAACGAACCGAGACCAAATGCCAAGCGTGGCACAGCCACGCCTCCGATGTTGATGGTAGCCATTGTGTCCCACAGCAGATTGAAAGCACAAGCAACAGTGCAAGGGAGCACTTTTGAAAGGCCGAACGGCTGACGGTCTCTGGCATCGCCCGAAGTGCCGTATACTACGAGGTATCCCTGCAAGCTTTGGCTTTGCGGGGTACGCCGGCTGTGGAGAAGAGCGTGTCACCAGTCGACAGTACTCCGTCAATACACGTTTGGTCTATTATGGGGTTCGAAGCAAGACGCGGAACATTTGGGCAGCCGGACTGGGGATAAAGGCTGCCTTTCTCGAACAGTTCGGCCTTAAAAGACAATTTTGCCAACATCGCTCCATCTTGGACAACATGCCTGCATCAAGCTCCCAGCACAGTGGCCACACAGAGTCAAAGCCGCGCCAGATCAAGGTCGCCATCGTCGGAGCAGGTATCTCTGGTCTCGCCGTCGCCAATGGATTGCTCAAGGATCCGGCCGGCAGATTCGATGTCCAGGTATACGAGCGCGATACAGTTGCATTCGACTCGGAGCGTGGCGGCTATCAATTACGAATCAGCTCGAATGGCCTGAATGCTCTGCGAACTGTTTCTGATCGCGAGCTCTGGGCCTCGCTCCGCGAAACATGGGCAGGCGACGAGGCCAGAGCTCCGGCGATAGTTGACCCCAACTTCAACCTCCACCTTCGCCTCGCCGATCTGAAATTGTACCCTTCGAGTCGGCCGGTCCCACGCACTGGACTTCGACGTGCTCTTCTACAACCTCTACTTTCGCAGAAGAGGGTACATTTCAACCACAGCCTTACACATTTCGACTACCTACCAGAAGAACAAGGCGGTGTGGACCTACACTTTGAAGGGAAGCAGTCGCAGTATGCCGATATCGTGGTTGCTGCCGATGGCAGTAACAGTCGAATCAATCGACAAGTTGGTCTCAACAACAAAGTCAAGCTCGAAAACTGGACTTTGATTCAGTCTCGAGCGGGCATCGATCGCTCTGTACGAGACAAGCTGCCCAAATCGCTGATAGATTCTGGCTCTGTGCTGTTCCTGGGTGGCCGACATGCCTCTGGCTTTGCTTCTGTCTATGATCCCAAAGCCGACCTGGGAACTGGTGGAACAGAGACGTATACCTTGTTTTGGTCAATCCTGGTGCCCAGTGTGCGCGGAAAGCAGATGCTACAACAAGCGAACGATGACCCGCAAAAGGTGCTTCACTATCTGCTGGACTATCTGCGTCAGGACCTCGGGTATGAAGAGGCTCTACCTTTCATCATGGAGTCAGCGACCGAGCATCTTCGCACAGGACTTCTCACAAGTTCGGTCAAGCCGAAGAAGAGCTGGCGAGACAATGACCCAAGACATGGCCGAGTGATTCTGCTTGGAGATGCAGTTCATCCTATGACACCAGGAAGAGGAATGGGGGCAAACCAGGCTCTTACTGACGCCGGTAAACTGGTCAAGCTGTTTCAGGGGACACAATTCGCAGAACGCGTCCCCTCTGACGGGGAGCTTGCGACTTTGGTGCACCAATTTGACAAGGAGATGTACGGACGAGCTTTTAAGATGGTCAAAGCGAGTGAGAGCGTCACTGATCTGGACCTGACGACTGCAAGTGGCAGACTGTTAATCAAAGTGATCGGTGTCGTCCTGACGGTTCTCGGCTGGGGAGCGTCGGCTTTGGAGACCATCGGACTCAAAGAACGAGAAGACCTCGACTTCACCTCGTACAAAGAATAAACGCCAATATGCACTACCGCCAACAGCCAACTCTTCAACACTATTCTTTTCATTGTCTGTAAGCTATGTCCTCGAGCTCAATAGCTGCTTCCAACCCTGTGCATCCGAAACGCGGCTGCCCCGCAGATCCGGAGTCCCCACTATCAAGCTTGAACCTGTACCAGGAATGCCACTGTAGTTCCTAGTAGTGTCAGCCTCGTTCAAAGAAGATTGCTAGTCGAGTCTGACGGCAACTGTTGTCGGGGTCAGGGTTTCTGCCTATATTGCGGAGTACAGGCAGTCAGCGGCCGAGTATGCGGAGCTAAGCCCACGACTCCACTCTTTTTGGGTCACTGTCGTCTGTAGCTTGGCCAAACAACTCGACCTCATATACATCCATTGTGTTGCGCGAGAACCAGACTGAAAGACAGCCCGAAACAAAAAGATAGCGAAACCAAGTATGACGGAGCAAATGCACCCTGTTATCATTATTGGTGGTGGACCAGTGGGTCTCACATCCTCTATTCTTCTCTCTTTGCGGAAGATCCCGCACATTCTCTTCGAGCGGCATCCTTCGACATCGATTCATCCCAAAGCCGCAGGCATCAATCAACGCACGACCGAGATTTTCCGCGTGATGGGAATCGAGGACGAAGTCTATGCACATGCCGCACCTCCAGAAATCGCCGGACGAACAGCGTGGTATACTTCTCTCGGACCCGATGGCAAAGAGATCTTTTCTCGAGATGCGTGGGGCGGAGGCATTTATGAAGAAGAGTATGCGAAGCATAGTCCTTCGCGATACTGTATCCTGCCCCAAATTCGATTGGAGCCAATCCTGAAGCGACGAGCGATGGAGCTTAATCGCACTGGCATTTTGTACAATCATGAGGTCTTGACTGCTGAGAACGCGGATGATAGAGCTACGGTGACTGTGAAGAATCGGACTACAGGCGAAATATCTGAGCATCATGCACGCTATCTCATTGTCTCTGACGGCGGCCGATCCTTCACAGAGAAGCTTGGGGTGAGCTGGGGTGGCGAGGGTGGTCTATTGACCATGTCCAGTGCACACATCCGAGCTCCAATCAGGCCGCTTCATCCTGACAACCGCAATTTCATGACGTGGTTTACCAACCCGGCAATGGGAGGCAGTACAAGAACTGGCTACCTCTATCAACTCGGACCTTGGCCAGAAGCGATGACAAACCCTGCTGTTGAGGAATGGATGTTTGCTTGTGGATTGACTGAAGACGATCCACCGACTTTCGATGAGAAGACTGTACTGGATCGGGCGAGAAGGACGATTGGGATCCCAGAGCTTGATATTGAGCTCATTAGTTTGAGTCACTGGACTGTGAATGCTCTGTACGCTTCGCGATGGCGGGTTGGGAGAAGTTTTCTGGTTGGCGATAGTGCTCATCGCATACCGCCTTGGGGAGGTGAGTAGTACACCACACACGTGCATAAGTTGGCAGCGTATTGACAATCAGCAGCTCTCGGCATGAACTCTGGCATTCAAGATGCACAAAATCTCATCTGGAAATTGAGTCTCGCTCTACACAACGAACAAAAATACGACGGCCTCCTCGACACGTACGAGACAGAACGACTCGAAGTCGGCCGACGAGTGGGCCAAACCAGCCTTGAAAACATGCGATCCCATTCTGGCCACATCGATGCTGCTATGGGCGTGAGTATGAACCAGACGAAAGCCGAGAATATCGCTGCTGGTGAAGCATTCTTCGATGGAAACCATCCAGACTATCAACGTAAGCAGGCACTCATACAGGAAGCTTCGCGACAACTAGATACAGAGTTCAAGGCGCCTGGCTACGAGGTTGGTTGGTTTTATCCTTCGGCAGACATCAACTCGGAAGGTGGAGAGACACACAACGGACAACAGCTGCCTGACGGGACTCTTGTTCCCCACACTTATTTCGTATCGACAATCCCAGGACATCATTTGCCGCACGTGTGGGTAGAGAATGAAGGCCAGACTGTGGCGATCCGCGATCTCCTGGATCTCGATATTCTCACGCTTTTCGTGGAGAATCTCGAACACTGGAGTTCCAATGATGCCCGCACGAAGGTCGTGGTCATCGGTCCCAATGGCTGGCAGGACAAGACAGGTGAATGGCAGAATCATCGTGCGGTCGGGTCTTCGGGTGGAGTGTTGGTCCGACCAGACGGTATCATTGCGTGGCGAGGAGATTTGGCTGATGTACAAGGGCAAGACTGGAAGCAGTTGGTAGACAGAGTGCTGAAAGCCAAGAACTAGATTTGCTGTCAGCACTGTGAGTCTGCATTCGCCGGTTCTTCCTCTCAACATCCGTCGGAGCACCCCACCTCCACTTGCCCACTTTTCTGGCAATGTCACCTGGTAAATGCATTCAAACCACAGCACACAAGAAGGCGCTCAAATGCTGCAATTGTACTGGATTATTAACAATGGCCACAACGCTTGAGTGGTTTGGTATGTGTGTGTCTTTGTCAGATCGCCTATACTACGTATTGACAAGCTATTGTAGGAGCCACGACTTACCGTCTGAAGACGAATGGACTGACCATTTTCCTTGACACATGGCTGGAGAGACCTAGTGTGCTGCCAAAGTTCTTGGCCATAGATGATGTCAAAGAGGCAGACTACATCTTCATCTCACACGCCCACTTTGACCAGTATGTGACGAAGTGGTCAATCAACTTGGGAACAGCAGCTGAATGTCGTATGCAGTCTTCCCGGAGCAGACCGTATTGCAATCAACACTGGTGCAATTATCATCGCCAATGGGGAAGCAATCAATGTGCTGCGAAATGCTGGCGTGCCAGAGGAGCAGCTTGTTCCAGTAGCTGGCGGAGAACGGGTGCCGTTGTTCACGCGCCAAGTGCGTGATGCAGCAAAACGAGGCGAAGTATATGTCGAGCCAGGCCCACCAGGAGCTCCGAGTAGTCCCCATTACAGACTCTCAGTGGCAGCTGTTCATATCTGGCCCTCGTTGCATTGTCTCATGCCAGGAAAATCGCACGCAGATATTCCAGACGTCATGGACACGGGAAAGGTACGATAGAGCTACCCGTTGTTCGGAATTTATCGTCCATTAATCATTGCGTTAGGAATATATCGGAGGTGCCAGTCAGTTTGCGTGCACGCTCAATATCACATTTGGCATGAAGTATGGGCTTCTCGAAATGGGCGATCATGTGCCTCGCGAATCGATGGACGAGGGTATGCGATCTTTCGTTGATTACATCAACGGTCCAGCTCGACAATGCATGTCTCACTTCGATGGCGGCCAATTGATGTTCAATTTCTTGCTTGGAACGAACAGAACCCTCATGTGGAGTGCACATTTGGGAGCATACGAAGGAATCTTGAAGACTGTAGAGCCTAAGCCGAACGTGCTGATTCAAGCCATCGCTGGTCGGGCTAATCTGAATGGGAGACCCTTCGATGGGTCTGCTGCTCAGTTTGCGGTCAACATCTCTCGATGGCTAGATGAGCCGGGGAAGGTGATTTGGTGCCTGCATGACGATGCTCCGATCAAGCCGTGGACTGTGAATGTGCAGCCGGCGACAACGATGTTGGAAGAGCAGACTTCCTCGAGGGTGCTCGATCCATCTCTAGGAGAAACGATTGAGCTATTTGAGACATGATTGAAAGCTGCTTAGATCCCTCTGAGCCGCGTGCTACAAGTTATTGTCTGTCGCTACGCCCCAGAAATAGCTGGCCCAACCACCCAAGATTAATGCGATAAGCATGATGGAGAAAGCTACGCCTACTCGTGTATTCAAGCCGGCCTTCGTCCCAATTTCATATGCCTCACGCTGGGCGTTGATGAGGTCTCCATTCTGCTGCCTCTTCTTTCTGGACCACTGCAGTCGCCGCAAATCGTCAGTGATAAAGCTCCAGATGAAAAGCGCCAGTCCCACGACCACAGCACCTGCAGCCAAGATTACGTATACAATAACAACATGATTGTAAGAGTTGTTATCTTGATCTTGGATAACACCAGTCATGATGCGTATGATGATGCTCATGCTGTTGTTCACTGCAATCTTGATAGCGTAAGCCGAGCCGAAAGTGTCCTGATACCAGATTGCTGTCCGAATGCCATCGATGATAGCGGTCGGACCCAGCGTGAACCCAAAGGCGTAGATCCCGAAAGCGGCAGCAGTTCCCGCAACCGTAGGTCCAAATGCTGCAAGGCACATGGCGAGGAAGCACAAGAGCCCACAGACAAGAATGACTGTAAGGCGATGTCCATACCAGTCGATGAAGAGGCCGAGAAGAGGGACCAAGAAAAATCCCAGATACCTTGCGGATGCAGTGTACCATCCTGCTTTTGTGCCATCGACATCAAAGCGCTGCTCCGCGAGTTCGGTAGCGTTTTGCGAGAATACCACAGCCATGGATGTCTGGAATGCAGTAAAGCAGATGAACCCCCAGAAAGCCATCGGAAGCTGCAGCGCTTTTCTCCACTCGAACTTCTTTGTCTTCTCTCTCAGCTCCTCGCCCGTTGCAGGATCATTAATACCATCGCTGTATGTTATATCACAGTATTTCCGGAAGAACCAAAACAATATGGTGAAAGCGTTTGTGAGTAGGTTCATGAACACAGCAGTCCAGTACACCCAGCAGAAGTTACCAGTGTTTTTGGCGATGGGATTTGCTGTAGCCGTGCCAACGAAGGAGCCCAGTTTGCCAATTGCCAATTCCAGGCCGAGCGTCGAGGCGAAGCCATCCGATGGCGCGAACCACGAACTAAAGATTCGGTATTGAGCGACTTGGGTTGAGATATCTCCCAGCGCCTGAACGATCATCCCGCCGACCATCAATCTGTAGCTGCGGACTGTAGTGGCTGCAGCGATAATGATCGATCCAATGCTGTAGATGATATTGCCCCAAACCATGATGCCAGCACCTCCGAAGCGGTCAGTCAGTATCCCCATGAACAGGATTAGTGCTGTCTTCATGAAGTCTTCCGAGGCTTCCAGCAGTGAGTATTGAGTGTTGTCAATTTGTAGCTCCTGGGATCGATTGTGTTAGTGACGTCTTTCGACAACGTTTGAAAGACGAAACTCACCTTTTTGAGAGTCGATTTCATGGCTCCCGTCACCCCAGATGACCAATGTGAGCCAAACCCGATCAAAGATACTATCAAAACGGCAATCAGCTTCATGCGCATCGGTACATGAGTCGATCGCCCGCCATCACTTCCAGCTGAGTTTGCATCACCGGAGACTGCAGTGATGTTGGGATACGGCTCCTCCTTGTGAAGCCGAAGTGGTGTATTTTGCCATTCGTAGGACGCTTGGGCCGATTGATCGAGTTCTTGTGCCATGTTTGAAAAGCATACAGATACATTGTCGAATCCTCCCCGATCTTATCAGCTCAAGCTCTCGTATGAACGCACAACGGGCCGGCTGGCAGGGTCGAAGTCTTCAGACAAGCGAACTCGGCTCCACACGATGTGCAGAAAATATTTGCCAGAGCGGTCTAGCCAGAAGCAATGGAGCTGCGAAGCGACGTCCGAAGTAACGCCATTGCGATCTCGGGCTCGTTGCACCAGCGCAGCAGTAATGCGATAGCATTGGACGTACCAACGCACAGAATCGTACCGCCATCGGCTGCGTCGAATGTGTCGCAAGCATTAGTACGAGAGCCTTAAGCGCAAGCTGTTCGAATCGGACAAGATCCCGACGCGCGTCTCCATGCGTCTGCTGGGACGACAAGTGAACTGTCCATGCCGAGTCAATGGCTGCTTCGTCGCAGAAGAGAGGGCTCTTTGCATTGTGTTCCTCAAACTATGCCTGTGTAATTTCTTCTGCTGGTTCCGGGATGCATTGGTATCAAGAGCCCGAGTCAAGGTGTGCAATGGCCAGACATAGCATGATATCGTTCACGATGATGATAGCCCAACAAGTCCAACGCAGTCATTTGGATTTGCCGGAGAGCGTGGGCTTGGAGGTATCAAATTGCAGCGCAAGGGAGCCAGCACGCTGTTGATATGTTCTGCAGTTGTAGAGGTATCGCAATTCATGTGTACCTATCGGTTCAATGTTCCTATTCGAGTAGCACGATCATGCCTTTGCCAAATATATGCTGCGCACTTGGCACCAGCCCTTCAGACCTGCCTCGCCGTTCTCACAGCCGACACCGCTGCCCTTGAAGCCGCCGAAAGGAACCTCCTGTTTGAGCAGTTAGCTTATGGAGGATCAAAAGCATGCGATTGTGCTTACCGGATGCTGCTGCATCATAGTGTTGGTCCACACGACACCAGCCTCGACTTGGCGAGCCAACTTCTCAACGCGAGCCAAGTCTGTGCCGTAGATGGTGGCGCCCAGACCCCACGAAGAGTCGTTGACGCGCTTGATGACTTCCTTGTCATCATTCCACTTGAGCAATGGCACGATTGGTCCAAAAGGCTCCTCTTGCACGAGACGGCTGTTCTCTGGTGGGTTGTTGACGAGTGTCAGTGGTGCGAAGAATCCTGGACCTTCGGGAATCTTGCCGCCGGTCAAGAAATCGTGGTTGTTCTTCTGCGAGTCCGCAAAGAATTCGCTGACCTTCTCGTAGACCTGTCGGTTGTTCAATGGGCCATACATGACGCCCTCCTTGGAGCCGGGTCCTACGCCAGCTTGGTTGGCGGCCTCGACCAGTGCCTTCGAGAGCTTCTCGAAAATGTCTTCGTGGACGTAGATGCGCTTTGCTGCGTGGCATACTTGGCCGGAGTTGAAGAAAGCACTCAGCAGGATAGTGGGCGCCACTTTCTCGATGTCAACATCTGGCAGGACAATGCAAGCATCGTTACCGCCCAGCTCCAGAGTCACACGCTTCAGAGTCGCGGAGCAGCTCTTGGCCACCAGGCGACCAGTTGCGGTGCTTCCGGTGAAAGAAATCTTGCGAATCTTTGGGTGCTCTGTGACCCATGGGCCAAGATTGTCGTCTCCCAGCACAATTTGCACGACACCAGGTGGCAGGTGTCGGTTGAAGAGCTCGACACATCTGACATCGCATAGAGGGGTAAATGGCGAAGGCTTGATGATGATCGTGTTTCCTGTGAGGACAGCGGGGATGATCTTCCAGATCATGAGGAGTACTGGGAAGTTCCATGGCACGATGCCAGCGGTAACGCCCAATGGAACGTACTGCTCAATGGCCTTTGTCTCGTCGTTCTCCCACACAACCTTCTCCTTGATTTCCATGCTTGGTTGACGCTCGAACCATTCGTTGACAAGATCGACCTCGCCCTTTGCAAATGGAGTGGCCTTTCCTTGCTCAAGCACAAGCAGCTCGACGATGTCCTGGCTCATTGCCTTGTACTCTTCACCGACAGCCTTGATCGCCTTTGCACGCTCTTGCCATGGTGTCTGAGACCATGATTCGAATGCGGTCTGAGCATGTTCGACGGCTTCATCAAGCACTTCGCGCGTAGCAATGGGCACGGAGGCAATCTTCTCCTCAGTCGCGGGGTTGATCACGTCCAGAGTCTTTGCTCCTTTGGTGTCATATGCCTTTCCGTTGATGATGTGGGAGAAAGATCCCGAGAGAAGCTTAGGAGATGACATAATTGCTGTTGATGTTCAGTTGTTGATTCTTGACGAGGAAGAGGGCAGGAACACGAAATGTGATCAGCGTGCGAACAATACTTTGTATTGCCTCGGGCCTGATGACGTTAGGCAGCCCCAGTGCAGAGGCCTAGGCCTAGACAGGTGGACCGGAGGGGTAGGTAGAACTAGCTTGCTGCGATCGACGTATTTGAAATCTTCAGGCAGATTCTAGCGAATCGTATTCGTCGACGTCGTAGAGCCTCCACTTCACGTTGTTGTCGATGTCGCTTGCTCGCATTCAAAACCCATTGTTATTCCCGTGGCCGCTGTTTACTGCCAATATGTCGCGTGGAGCTTCGGAGACCTCTCGGAGTGCGTGCCAAGAAAGCATCTGTCGACCACTGCTCGATTTCGGAATGGCTGTGGTAGAAATGTGGCTGATCCCCACCAGCACGGAGTCGTAGCTCACGCAAAGTATCAAGCGCCACGAAGTTCAAGATTACGAAGCAGCGACCTCGCTCCAGACTGTTCTCCGACGACCGGTTCGATAGGCCAACCCGTGCTTGTGCGACGACTTTCTAGAGGTGAGACAAATTCTTTCCCTGCCCAGCTGCTAACCCAAGCACTGTTGGACTGCTTCTCGTGTTTACTTACTACAGCTTGGTGTACATCTCCCTCTGGGCTCCCATTTCTTGCCGATGTAGTGCGACCCTAAGTCGACTTACGTGATGATGACTTGCCTCTCACACGCGCAGACCGACGAAGCGATGCGAATCGGTTCAAAGCCATCGACCACGCCTTCTGCGCGTGTCAGCGAGGCCAGATGTGGCCCGAGGCAGCTTTCCCACTCCTTGAGAATGCATGCGAGCATAAGCCTGTCAAGCACGTCGGGAGTCGCAAGCGGCAGAACGTGTCTTTGCCTTTCTCTCACGCGGCAATTCGACACCTGCCACAGCATCGCGAAGGAATGTCGCTGCCAGCTGGTAAGGGCTCAGCTGAGCCAGCGCCTAGAATGGCCGGTCTGAACCTGGACACTTTGCCTTTATTTGGGAAAGCTGCCAAAGATTGTTTGTACAGAGCCGTACCAACCGGACAGCACCTTGCATGCCAATGAGGCGTCGTGAACGACGTACGAGCGCTGGACACCGAAGACTTCTTCCCAGTGGCGCTGCCAATCCTGCAGCGACTTCCAAAGCAGAGATTCTCAGCGCAGTCGCGAGGACCTCTTCGCTGGAGCGGTGCGACGTGCCGATCGGAGCGCGCGGAGCGCCTGGCAGTGGTATTGAGAGCTGGATCCAGGCATGCATCTTCGCCTGCACCGTTTGCGGGAGAGGAATTGAGTCGTGCCTCGCTGATAGGGTCAAGATGGCCACATCATGTCGATGTGTCGCAATGCGCATTGTAGTACTCGAGCGGAGAAGTCCCTGTCTAGGTAGAGAAGGTCGCTTTCTTACAGACTCTGCATTTAGGATCCGAGTAGCGAGACCTCGATACTTGGAGTTGGGTGGGAGCGGCGCTTCCTCCGGCCCTGGGCGACACCTCGCTACATGGCACCTCGCTACTTGGCTTGATTGGCTGCATCAACCCTACTGCATCGTCGCAATCCGCTGCTTGTCCCTCAGTTCTAGGAGCATCGTCGTCGTATATCGCGCGTTTATGCCCGTCTATACCGCTCGTCGCATTGCCGCTCGTCGCATTGCCGCTCGTCGCATTGCCGCTCGTCGTATGTTCGCTCGTCGTATGTTCGCTCGTCGCATGTTCGTATACCGCTCGTCGCATGCCGCTCGTCGCATGCCGCTCGTCGCATGCCGCTCGTCGCACGTCGCACGTCGCACGTCGCATACCGCTCGTCGTATACCGCTCGTCGCACGTCGCACGTCGTACGTCGCCTACTCTACGCAAAACCTCTGCGCGCTATCGGGATACTTTCGCTACTATCGAAGCGGATATTGTCCGCTTGCTAAGCTCTCTATAAACTAGATATCTTCGCCTTAAAGCCCGTCTAAGAATATAGTATCGATTGCTATAGTAGACTATATAGGTACCTAGGCAAATAACTAGAAACCCTATTAGTAGAGTTTATAGTCTTATTCTTATTAAGTCTATTAGTCTACTAA